GGAAAAAACAAATGAAAAGTAGATGTTGAACACAGCTTGTTTTAGAGCTAAAGTCATGCTCCTTATCTACATAATTTATCATGTCTGTTCATTCGCTGCTCTGTGTAGCACAAACATGAGATTCTCAGTTTGATTTGCTCGGTTGTGTTTCCTAGACTCAGAGATATCTGCAGGGTCTCAGCAAGAACATATTCAAAGTCATCAGTAAAGCATTAGGCCTCATTAAGTTTGTCTTTATTTGGAATTAGTCGATTTACTGCGACTAAATGATGAGAATCTTAATCATTAAATCATTTGAATTGCTTTGTTTGACATGATGATTCTACTTTCTTCTCATTGCTGCAATGCTTTGCAGTAAAAGTGGGTTTTCCTGTTGATTGATGTAACATGTGTGTATTGCATACAAACATCCTCTGATTGCATGGTTACATTAAGATGGAAACTGAACAGTTTCTGTTTGACAACCTTTCAAAATACCGTCCCAAAACTCAACATTGAACAAATTACAAGAATCAAAGGACGAAAGTAGATAATAAGTTCTATCTAGGTGGCATCAGAAAAGGAGTGATTTTATTGTTACTCCATTGAATCCACTCAGAAAAGGGAAATTAAACTGCCTGGCAGCAGAATATACATAAAAATATATTTCCCTCTAGAAAACAACTTTAAATATCTAATGTTTAAACCAAGATGTTTTTTATGGGATGTTTGGTCATGTTTCATCATTTAGTGAAGCTAAAACAGTAAAACTAACTTGTAAGTCATAAGGCAATGATAACAATGCAATGTTTTCGTTTTTTTTTTTTGCATAGATTGGTTTGCAAATGTTGTATAAATAGACCATCTAAATGTTTCCCCAGAATTTCAGCCAGGCTGTGAACCGTATCATCACATCATAATATGGCATATAATGAACTAATGTGTTAAATTTCTATATATATATTTCCTTTTTAACAGAAGATTATCCCTAAATATTGATTACAAGAAATGAGCAAACAACTGCTCTTAAATCATACACCGATATGTGAAAGTCCGCCGTCACAAACTATTCTGATGCAAAAACTACAGATAAAAGATCCCAAGCAGACAAGAACTGACCGACACACTGTACTAAATTAAAAATAAACTACAGCATGACAAGGATGTTGTTCTGACTGCACTTAAAGCAGCTTCCTCCCCAACTATTAAAAGACACAGTCGTTTAATCTCTCAGGCATTGAATATTTTAAATACGGAAATATAATCAACGTAGGGAAAGAAAACTGACTTCTAAAGTTTTCAGAAGAGACACAAATCATATCTATGTTGATATCTTGGACCATAAAAGAGCAGAAACCTTCAGCCTGTCCAGAACGTTTCTGGTCGGCTCATGTTGTTAGAGAATCAGTTGGATTCAGCAGTGTTTGAAACATCAATCTTCCACCAACTCATGGACTCATGGAGTGTGTTAACCCCCTTTTATTACACGTTCTGCATTGTACGGGGCTCCAAATGTGCCAAAAATGCTTGTACATGCTTATGCGTGTGCTCTGAATTTTATTTACTTTCCCTTTGGGAGCAATAAAGTATTTTTGAATTGAATTTGAATTGAACTGAATGTGCTGTGTCAGAAGTTGGAACTTGGAGCTGGCTTCACATCTAGCTAAGAAGTTGGAATTTAAACATGGCGACATAAACAACCTCTTACAAACATCATTTCAAGCTTTACTTTACATAAGCAAGCACTACTTTCAATTTGTTTGGTTTAGAGTTGCAGGTGCTGCATGCGCCCAGTTACCCAGGGAATGTGGCAGTTAAACACAACCTGCAGAAGGTAAAGCTTTGGGGATGATGTGTGTTTTTGGCTTATTTAATGATAAAATAATATTTTAAGACAGGTTGGAAGGAAAAGGAAGACTGTGGATGAAGAAGAGATGATGACAAAGTTTTTCATTGGTGACCCAGTCTGGCCTCCACAGCCTCACTTAAAGGAGCCATTGATTCCTTTAATGCATCTAAAAGTTGAGCCTGATGGGTCACACATCTATCCAGGAATAAACATACAGTTTGCACTGGATTTCAAAAGAATATTGATTGAATTATTTTCTATGGTGTATCGCAAAACATTCAACAAACAATTGGAGGTCTATGTTGCATTAAACCAAAGGTTTTCTCTTTTTTTTTGACTGAGCACAGCATTAAAGCTGGCCTTTTGGCGTTACTTTAATTTATGAGATGGATTTATTGTTGAGTGCAACCTCCCTGCTGTAAACTCCTTCACAAAATTACACCGACCATAAATTAGAAGCACTCTCATTAGACAAGCTATGGAGGTGAAGAGGCAAGATTCGCTCTGCAAACACAGACCACAGAGGAAACAGCTGCAGAACGTGTTAATGCGCTGCATGCACAAAACCTCGATGGGGTTAGATTATTAGCCGATGTCCACTGACCGTCGGGGACCACGGTCCTGCACGGTTTAGTTCTCACGACTCTAAGATTTAAATTTCTGAATTACTTTCCCTGGCCTGTTTCCAGGTTTTGCTGAGGTCTTGGTAAGAACCTGTTCATTAAATTCAGCTGTGTTGAACCAGAGAACCATCTGAAGCATGCAGGACTCCAGCTCCTAGCGACTGGCGGTGGACTTCGCTTTCCTCACTACTAATTTTAAGCTCAGCTACATCAAGAATACATCTATAGCACTTCCTTTTCTTAAGCCAACTCACACTTCATAAGCCTATCAGTTTTAATTACAATTTAATGGCACAAATTAAGATCTAAAAACACAAGACTTACAGCTTTGCATGTCTGTGGTGCGCAATAAAAGACTATCTATTTGTGGTAAGTGTATAGCGAGCATGTCTAACGGTTATTTTTTCTCCTAAATATTTGCATCTCTTCAGAAGGACAGCTCTGCAACTCAGAGCACTCAGCTTGAAAGCCTATGTGAATTTTTCTGCACTTTTTAAAAGTGCTCTTGATTACAAAACACTGGTGGGGAAAGATGCACAAAAAAACAGAGATAACTTCACATTGCAGTCTGAGTGAGGACAATGGATGAATTTTCAATTTTAAAAGCCACTGTGGGTTGCCGCCACTGAATAGTATGAAAGTCTTCATTTCATTCAAGTAAATTTTGCATTTAACTTGCTGACGTGGTGCAGACATTTACCAGGAAATCGTAGAGCACTTCAATGAAGAAACATGGCTGTGACGATGTGCTGAAGGCGAAGGGTCAAAAATGAGCAGGAGGTTCTTAAAGAGACAGAAGGTGTTCAATTGAAAAACCAAATTTCTCTGAAGTCGTGTTTCACATATACAACTTTTCATAAGAGAAGTTAACACAGATATTAGATAGTGCTACATAATGCCACAATGTGGCTGTAAAATGCATAATACTGCCCCTTTGACACTTCAGCAGGCATAAAGACTGATAACCTCCATGCCACAATGCATTTCTAAGACTTAATTTATGCACCTTTTCCTAGCAGTTTTTCTTTTCACTTAATTTTCAGCAACTGTGCTTCATTATAAGTCGGTCTGTGGTTTAGCCTCCTTGTGACGAGTCTTCATCATCCCCTGCTGGGTAAAAGTGAATTCACTTCAAGTAAACCTTCTTTAACACTTTTGAATTGGCTTTTTGTGATACGTCATGAATTTTAGGGTTGAGAGTATCTTTATGTTCTGGTAAAAATGTCTATGTGAGGAAGAAGTTTCTTGAATTTCCCATCTGTCATCGAGCTGCTAAAAACAGAAAACGCCCAAAAGCAGAAATAAAGTTTTAAAATTGTTTTTTTCTTCACTTATTTCCCCATTACCAACTTCATGACTTGACATTTACTCTGCAGCTTTCTTGAGCAGGAACAACTCGTCTACTGCTGGAAACAACTGGAATATTTTTAAAAAGAAACTATGCAAATTTACTCACATTTAGAATAAGATGTTTTTTTAAAATACAAGGCAACAGCTTTCAGTTTCAGTTAAATTATTCTGCTGCATAAACTTTGTAATTTTAACTCAAGTGTATTTTTGTACATTGTTAATTCACCGGATGCGCATAGAAAGGTTGAGTCACAGCTTCAGCACTGTGTTTATTTCAGTTCTGCTCACGCAACAAACTAAGATGTTCTTCATGGAAATAAATCTTCCGGCGCTCCAGGATTCAGACCTTAATACCAGATTTAAATACAAAACACAAAGTTTAGAAAATATAATGGGGCAGATTTTAAATACCTGAAAACAAGAAGGAAAAAAGGAACAAGAGAAAGGAAAAATAGGGATGTAAGAAAGTTGACAAAGAAAAAAAAGGCACATGGAAAGAAATGTTTGAAGAAAGAAAAATTAAAAACGAGGAGGAAAGAAAAGACGAGGGCCCAGTGGAAGAGAGACAAAGGAAAGGAGCCAATGAAGGAGAGAAGGGAACAGAAGTGCACAAAAATGAGGAAAAGGGGAAGACATGAGGAAGATAAGAAAAAATGGCAAGAATGGAAATGAATGAAAGACAAGGAAGGAGCTAAGACAGAAATGAAAAGTGCAAAAAGAAGGAGACTAGGGACAAAGGAAGGAAAAAAATGGGAGGTAAGGAAGAAAGGGAGGCAAGAAGCCAGGAACAAAAGGAAGGAAGGACATGGAAAGAAAAAGAAATGAAGGAAAAAGAAGAAAAAAAGGAGAGGAAGTACAAACGAGAAAAATAAAGGATATTGAAGAGAAACGGTATGAGGAAAAAAGGAAGGCACAAAAGAGATAAGTGAACACAATGTCAGCTTTAAAGAAAACGAGAAAGGTGAGAAAAGAAAGGACATGAATGAGACAAAAAGGAGGAAGCAATGAAGGACACAGTTGTTAGGAAGGACAGAAGAAAAGAAACAAGCAAAATGAAAATGAAGAAAAAAGGAAACCAAGTGAAAGTGAAAATAGTCTGAAAATATTTTTTCTTCCTCCAGGCCTTGTAAATACCAATTAAAATTGCACTTTTCCCAACAGCACAGGAACCGTGGAAAAAAAAAAGAGTAACGACACGCTTAAATTTGCATAGATCTTTATTTTTAGTAGAATCTATAATTGACATCAATTAAATAAAAAGGAGAAAAAAAGAAAAACATTTTTAAATTACAAGAAAATTACACTGCACCATTCATATAGTACAAAAATAGGCCTTATTTTAGAGTTATGTCCCATGTAGGATCGTCATTCTTGTACATTAATCATAGGTCACAAATCTGTAACGTACTGTGTGCAGCCACAGGTCAGGATCCTCACCAGGAGGCGGGAGGAGGTCAAAGGAGTGGACTGAGACGGCTCCTCCATCGCAAAGTGTTTCGCTTCGACTTTAACAAGCTTGTGCACGCAGACCCGGTTCAGCCCTTAAGGTCATGGCGATGGGATACATTCTACCTCCTCCCTCCACAGCTGCTCAACAGGCAACATGTCATCACAGATCACCGATGGGTTTCAACTAGACACGGCGAACGCAGCTACAGGAGGACGATGGGACGAACCGACCTGGAGGCGACACGTTCTCATACGAAACAGACGGCATCTGAATGATTGTCTTTGGTTATGCCAAAGATATTGCTCCTATCAACTACGTCCAAGTTCGTGTGGATAACTTCAGACTACAGCCTAAAATCGGGGACAGGAGCAACACCGAGCTCCGAGTGACAGCATTAAAAACGACATGATGGGTTTCATCTTTATAATCAGAAAAGAAAAGTAACTAGCATCAAACAGATTTTTGTCAGCATTTAACAGCTTCCGAGCTTTACTGCCAGCGAGGCGGGGGCTTTACAGCCATGAAAAAGCTGCTTTCTGGGACTATTAGCGAACCGGTTTCCTTTTTAGTGTGCACTTTATATCACATTCTGGCAGTGAAAGCTGCTGATGGGCTTCAGCAGCTCAGGAAGCACAAGCTAATTAATGCTGCCGCCATTAAGGAGTTTCTCTAAAAGTTAAACCCTTGAATGAAAAGAGTGAGAATCGGTTAACAGTTGTAGTGAATAAATCAGCCTAAGATGAAGGGAAAACAAATCAATCTGTGAACTTTAATGGGCTCCAAAAAGTCGCAAAGAAAGAGTTTGAAGCGGGAAAAGGCAAAGTGCGATGTTCATTGTAATTCTTCAACATTCATATTTTAATTGGAACATGTTTTGTTGCCCATTTTCTGGCGTTTGAGTCTGAGGCTGGAGCTCAGTGGAGACCAATCAAAGCATTGATGGCGATAGGCACCAGAGTTCATCACAAAAAGCAACAACTATAACATCTTTGTTGCGTTTGAGAGCGTTTTCCAGCAGATCAGCTCTCATGGGTCTCCTCTCGGTTCAGTAACGACCACACTGCAAAAACACAACTAGACTATTTTTCGTCTAGTTTGTGAGACTAATATGTGCACTTTAAAAAATATCTTACAGATAACTCATCAGCAAGATATAAGAGATTAGGTGAATAATTCCTTAATACTGATGCTAAATTAAGAGTTTCACTGGCAGATTATTTCACTTATAACAAGACAAAATATCTCAAAATAATTTGCCAGTGGAACTAGCACTTTTTTTTACATAAAAATAGCTCCTATATCATGCTGAAAAGCTACTGGTAAGTTAGTTTTCTCTTATTTCTAGTGTACTAAGATATTTGCGCTAGAAACTAGATCAAAAACACTTGGTACGATTTTGCATTTTTGCAGAGAAAACATGCGTCGCTGTAACTTTTTGGCCATCTGGGGGGATTTTTTTATACTAATACACCTGAATCCTTCAGCTCGGTTTCTGAAACACCTGTGAAGACTTTACAACACCAGTGGTTGAATTAGAAGCTAAAATCGATCTGTTTGTGTGCCTTGCACTCAAGACAAGGAAATTGATTGTCAGTGACATAAACGTAAGAGAAAAAAAACAACAACAACAACAAAAGAGTTTGAGATCCAGAAGGAGACGCCCCATTAGAGACGGAGAGCAGAAACGCCCCTGTTGGTTTAAAGGCTGATTTAGCACTCGAATGCCAGCCATTTTCACCTGTGCACGTTTCATCTCAGTAACCCTTTTTAAAGCCCACGTGTGACCACGCATGATGCCGATCCTCAAAGGCAATACATTTAAGAGAACAGAAGAGTTTCCAGGAAAGCAGAGTTGACAGTTTCTGATTTACTTGCACCCTTTCCCTTCTAAAACATGAATTCAGCCCGTCACCTAAATCACCACAGAGTAGATTTTCACGCCGAACCCACATTTAAATTCGCCTCTGTAATTAACAGCTCCTCAAAGAGTCTACGAAGCCTCGCTGTGGGATATGAGAGGTAGATAAAAGGATGAGCAGCTGCAGTTTTCCATGCACGCCATCATTTGAAAACCTCTCCCAGCAAGCTTCAGCATCTTTGTGCAGAAATTTTAAACAAAAAGGAAGAAAACAAAAATCAACACAGCTACAATGGATTAAACAATGAGATGCTTATTTCATATGATTACAGCTCAGGAAGGAAAAAACTGATATCACTTAAAGAGAAATGATATTAATAAAATCTCTTTGCTGTAGTATCATCTGGAGTATAAAGTACGCCGACTTGCTGATTTGAATTTCTGATTGGATGAGGATTGGAGTGCGGGGACACTGATGAGCCGAGGAGCGTCGACGTGGGGCTTTAATCAATACTCGAGACTTGAAGAGCGGAGCCGAGAGCGGAGGAAAGAAACCATCACTTCAGAGGCCAGGTGAGTCAGGTGATACTTTACATCCCGGCGCACGAACCCGCATCCAGTCGCTACGGCAAGAGGCTGGTGTTTGTGGGGCTGATTCGCTCTGACAGCAGGGGAGAGCCTTGATGTATTGTTACCGCGCCGGCTGAGTCGAGGAATCAATCACAGGTAAGTCAACACCTGCCAGCGTCTTTGAAGCTCACACATGCGCGTCGGCGCCTCGGCTGATTGACCTCTCACCCCTGTGGACGGGTGCATCAGATGCAGCCATTAAACATCTACGGTTGAGTGTTTTTGAGATTCTTATCTTTTGCTTTTTTCTGTCCCAAAGTGCAGAAAATGTGAGGCTGGAATCTAAAACGATGGAGCAGCTTTCAGCTATGTTTTGCTCTTTAAACTATTAAATTTAAATTCTTATTGCTAGTTATGCCTTTGATTTGAACGCACTTGAGAAGCGGGACTCCCTGCTAAAACGTTGGACTTTGCTGCACGGCTTTCAAATCCTGATGTCGACAAATAATGTGGAGAGAACAAATGTTTTTAAGTGGATGCTTCTTTAATAACCGTCAGTTTGTCATCAGCTAAAATATTAAACGACAGGAAACGTTTTAAACGACTTCACCGGAGGCGCGACGCTCCATGCTGCTCATCAGATCTCCACACCCTTTATTATGCAGGCTCATTCATTCAGAAATGCACACACACACAAAATCATCTCTTACGCTCACATTCAAAAATCTCATCTGGCTACTGCACTGAGACTAATGGAAGGTAAAGGGGGGGGAAGCAGTGAGACGCAGTAAATGATCAGCATTTGTTTACTGTAACAAAAAGGAGCTGGAGGGAAATGAACTCTGCACCAACAGATGCTGTCAGTGATCAGAGGTGTGCAGGAGGGAGACACCTGAACAGAAATGCAGCCAACTGTGAACAGAGCGAAAAGCTTGGGTTGTCCCCAGCTTTCAAAAACAGCAGCTTCCCATCAAGGCTCCCACAACCAAGTGAGGCCAACTTCCTAAAAGCAGACGAGGACCTGATAAGACAGAAAGAATAAAATTAACTGGGTGTATGTGCGGATGAGACTGAGAACAGCGAACACCCCTGAAGTGTCAAGACAGATGGAGAGGAGGAGAGTTTAAAAGTAGAGCAGGAGGAGGAGGGACTTATGAAAGCATTAAAGAGCACTTTGTGTTTTGATAAAGGCAGTTCTCTCGTTATGGACGTCGAACTCTTCATTTTCTGAGTCAGTGTTCAGGCCGTCGTCCCCCCAAACCGTCGGGATGCCGCGGTACGACACCACCCTGCTCCCCCTCAGGCTGAAGGCACCGCCGGCCTCCAGCGAGGGCAGCTTGATGAGCGCGCCGGAGCGCAGCTGCAGCATCAGGAAGACGCCCGCGAAGGTCGCAATGATGGCCATGCAGCTGAGCACAGCGACGGTGAGGGGCAGCTGAGAGTCGTGCTTGAGCCAAGGCTTCACCTCCTCCATAAAGGCCCCCGGCGACTCGCGCATGGAGTGGTTGAGGCGCAGGCAGGTGCCAGAGACCTGGTTAACGGAGCTGTGATCGGGGCAGGTCAGGCAGAACGGGGGGCTGAGGCTGCTGCAGGTGACGCAGGGCGATGGGCACGGCAAGCAGGCTGGGACGGAAGCTGGCTGGACGTAGTTTCCCACCGTGTAGTTGAGGGGCTGGGTGCCCACCGCGAAGCCCGCAGGACATTCTGTCACACAGCCCTGCTGAAAGAGGTAGTAGCCAGGGTTGCACTCTGCGACAGCGAGAAAAACAGAAACTGAAATCAGCAGCTGCACTCAATATTTACCTCCTTTGGGGAGTCAGAACAGCCAAAAATAAGGAATAAAAAACCTCCAGAGCTGGGCCAGTCAATTTATGAGTCAAGTATTTTCACTCAATTTATAAACATTAAGCTTCAGTTAAACAAGTGGTCACATTACAGAGTATTTTTACTCTGTAATGTTATTTGACTCCAAGTCAAGTAAGTACATTTATTAGAGTAGAGTAGAAACTGCCTTTATTCTCCCACGAAGGGGAAATTGAGATGCAACAACTCCATCAGATAAAAAGGTTCACACACAAAAAAAGTTCCTAAACTGTTAAAAACAAGATGTGCAAACATCAGCATGTAAATAAATACTTATTGATTTTTTTGGGAGCTTTGATGGCTGTAGAGTCTAACAGTTGCTGGGAGGAAGGATCTGTGACAACGCTCCTTTGTGCATTTAGGATGCAGATATTTGTAGCCATAGGTTGATTTTAGCCAATGGTCCCAAAACACACATTTCAAAAAACACCACAGAGAACAAATATGACACACTGGAAGCAGAAGTGGATAAAAAAAAAAAAAGTTCACCAGAAGGAAACACGAAAAGCTATACAACCTGTTTATCTGAGAAGTAGGTGCTGGAACAAAACTATTTTTAAATGTTGCTGTTTGGGACCCAGAAGCTTTTTCTATAAGGAAGAAACTGAAACTGTAAAGAGTTTGACTCGTCAAACCTGGACAAGCCAATCACTGGAGATGTAGTTATTTCCCAGAACAAATGGGGAAGAAAGGAGGAACTAGTCATTTGTGCCTTTGCAGATGTAGTTGTTCAACTTTGTTGAATGAGATTTTATTGTTTGTCACAAGACAATTTGTGCTGAACATCCATTACTTTGTCCCGACACCTGCATGTTTCATAGCCGCTTTGAGAACCGACAGTCTAACTCTAAACTAATTTCTCAAACACTATTTATATTCTGCCATAAGGTAATGGCTTATGTGACAACTATTAGTCACTTGAGGATATTTTGTTTCAATCTGCGGTCATGTTTAGCATAAACTATAATAAATGTAAACAGACAGTAGTACAAAGTTTCAAATGAAATACAATTTGAGCATTTGTATGTCATCCGAGCTCCACAATTAATACAAATACTTTACTCCCGATAAAAATAAACAAATATGTCTTAGTTTAAGTACAAAATGGTTTCTTTACAGGTAAAAAATGACAGTGAAAGTCCAAAACTAAATTAATAAATCAGTGCTGACGTTGCACTTCATATTAAATATTAGACAAATATAACGTTAGAAATATTCTGCCCTTTTTTACTTTATGTTACAAGAAACTTACTGAAGCAACGGTTTTTATTTATTTACACGACTGCTACTTTCAGCAATGTGACTGTTGCTGAAAGTTTTATCAACGTTAAATAAAAATGTTGAGAAAGTTATGGATGTTTCTAGAGCACAGTTTTCCTGTGTTTTCCTGCATGTACAATAGTTTTATTAACTGGTTATGTCACAAATACAATTTTAAGAGGTTTCATTTGGAAAAATAAATATCCGACATGGCCTTCTGTTTACTTCACATATTCTAAATAAATGTAAAGATTTGCAGCTTCTCAATTACGTATTATTTTAACAGCTTTTATTCATTTTTAATAGAACTGATGTTTAAGATGTTCTTTAGAGAAAAGTCAGGATGTCACTTTAGACTGGGTAAATATGATGATATTTTTCAACATTTAAACCAGGATCAAGAATAGGTATCGCTTTGGGTCATTTATGCAAAAATTTAAATTTGATGATTAAGCATCTTATGATTTCATCAGTAAAAAGGTAGGAAAATTATTGGATATTTTGACTCAAGTTCACATCTTCAAAAAAATAAACTAAAAGTATGTTTAGTTCAATTCATTCTGGGGCTGTTTGGTTTCCATTTCCTTTCCTTTGCTGCCTTCTTTCTGCTATAAAGACAGCAGAGACATTCCCAAAATAAAACCGGTCCAGGTACAGATCACTGCCTATAATGATCATCGGCTGCGTGAGAGCATCAGAGCTGAAAAAATTAGGCTTGAACATGGCAGCATTTTAGCATCTAGGGGAAGAAAATAACATAATTGTGATTCAGCTGTCATGCAGCACTCTGTCCCTGAGATACACAATTATCATAACGTTCCGTCTGAGATTATTCAAATGCACGATAATTGCATTCAGTCAGCACTCGAGTGCCAGCATGCATGACCCTCAGACAGCCTGTAGGGGTCACACCGTCTCCACCTCCGTCAACATGCGGCTGGATTCAGGCTGGGCTCACTGGGGGCGTGAAACCTCGCCTGTAGCAATATTTGTATTGGGAAGAGTGGAGGAGAGCTTTAAATTAAAATGAGATTAGCTAAGAGCCCTGAGGTGAAGATTATTTTATCTCATCAGAGGTTAGCTATTCACTTAAAACACTGACGATGAGGTCAAGGACCCACGCAGGAGTGTGGTGAAGATCTGAGTGAAGCTGAGCACAGGCTCAGCTTCACTGAGGGCTTTTCCACCAACGCGCTTCCTTTTATCTGTTCTATCCACCCTCTGACTGCTGTGACTTCCTGCGAGGAGTTAACCGGGGGAAGATAACGGGTCTTACCGATGCATTTCATACTCAGATCCAAAGTCTTGCATACGTCGTTGTTGGACTGGGGCTGTTCAGAGGAGCTGGAGGATGGTGAGCCGGTGCCGTACAGCACCAGGGTGAACTGGGTCAGGGTGCCTAAAATGAGATGAGATAAAAACAGAAATTAGAAGTAGGCCTGTCAGAAGCTGTAAGGCTCCCGGGCTCCCAGGGGATTCTGGTAATTGTATTCTCTTGATATTCCTGACAGAACATGACTCTGCGACACAATTTCAACAAAGCAGCCCCTCTCTGTGACTAAGTTCAGTCACTGAAATGATCCACACACAAAAAAACAGAAAAAAAGACTAAATAGTAAGACTTTAGTGAATAACTCTGGACTAATGGACCTTTTTCTGGCTGTTTATCGAGTCCTAGGGGAAGCAGCTTTGTTTATTAAGAGTTGGATGTCAAATCTAAAGGCAAACATACAAACACCTTTTTGCTATAACTTATGCTGCCTCGTGTCCTCCTTGGACTGGTGACCTAGAAATTGTTCCCTGCCCACGATCCTGAGCCATCTTTCAATCCCTTAAAAGCACCTTGAGGAGATGAAGACAAAGGAGGCTTCAGGAAGAGCTTAGAGCTGAGAAATGAAAGGTGCATCCTTCCTTCGATGTTTTTTTTTCTGACATTCTCTCAGAGATGAGGCAGAAATGTGTTCAGTATGACGGAAACACCCACACCTTGTTTACTTCGGTGTTCTCATGCAGAAGAACATAAATCAACAGGTTAACCGGCTGCTGTAAGGCAACGCAGTAAAAACTAGCGCAAAGAGAGAGAGCAAAGACACCTCAGCTTCAAGAGCCACTTGATCTCTAATCGCTTTGCAGTGAACTTTGACCCTCTTAGCTGAGGTCCAGACACAACAAATTACAATGAGTTAAAGAATCTTAAATAATGGTTGTCAGATCTATTTTTTTGTACTTTTTAAACTTATTTTTACACATTGAAAAAATAAAAAGACAACTTGAGTCACATCAGTATCACAAAAAGGTGAACAGAAAAAACTAATTCCATCTTTGCATTTATTTAGTTCATTTTGAACCCTTTCTATACTTGGGTTTCAGAGACAAATACTACTCTCGATGTAAAAATTTCAATTCCATTCTTAAAGAATCCTTCCATATGCAAATTCACTGAAGACGTAATTCTATACATTTCATACATTTATTTAATGATTCCAATTCATTCCTCTTTTATTACATTGTCCTTATTTTGCCATTTACTCATAATTGCAAAGCATTTGTTTTGTCAAATATTTGTCTACTAAATTAGTTTACTCCACTACATCTATGTATGAGGAGTAAAACCACATTCTATATTCTGGCTAATAATTAAGCGAATCATGCCACTAAGGCTGGAGAACATGAATGTGATCTGCCATATGGTTTCCACATTCCCTTCAACAATTGGCGTTTTGTTTCAGGTGTAATAAAAAAAAAAACAAATTGTGATGTTGAGGTAGTTACAGGAAGTTTACAAATATCAAGCCATTCATCTTGCTCCTATTTTCTATTTCGATTTAATGTAAAATGCAGAAATTTTGTTAGGTTCCTGCAAAGACAAATATATTCTTTTGACTAATCTTGTGTTAATATTATGGTTGATTCTTCTAAATCTAATAAATTTGATTTTACAAAAAATCTGTTTTACCGTAGTCACTGGCACCAGCAACATTCTCAATCTCCAGTTTCCACACGCCGCTGGGGTTCTCGTCCCAGGAGTGGGTGGTCATGAACGCCCAGTCATTGAAACCCTCTGATGAGTAGTCATGAGGCCTGCAGGAAACCAAGGAAGCAACTGTGATAAAAGGTTTGTCCACTGGGACTGAATGCGTCCATGCTCTGGTATGACTGGTACCTCGGGTGGAGCAGGGTGGAGCGCGTGCCGGCGGGACTGATGAGGTGGATGGCCAGGTTCCCCCTCCGGTTGTAAGTGAGGGTGAGACGGGCCTGGACATGCTCTAACGAGGTCACATAGCTGTCTGAGCCCAGGCAGGCATCCACGTTTTTGTCAATCGACAAATGGCTGCCAATGTTCCTGTAGGACCACAACAAAGACGGTCAGGAACAAACATCTTTGCTTCGTTGGATTTTTTTTTTAATTAAAGTTTTCCTTTTGTCACAATTTAGAAAACAGAATAAGATTTGGCTGCTGTGAGGGACTGTGAAGGGTGAAGAGGATTAATGTCTTAGAACCTGTAGCACCGCTGTTCTCAGGCGGGTAAACCATCAAACACTCCTTCTTTCCTTCACCTCAAATCCTCTTAGGAGATTAGACACATCCACAACCGTTCTGAGGAGGACCGCAGCACCGGGCTTCGGATCCACAGATGTGAACATATTTTAACAGCCAGGGTGATTCTTGAACCTCACATGTTGCCTCAAAAACAAAGCCTGCCTCCAGTTTCAGTCCAAACATATGCACATATTTTAATCTCCATTAAAGGATTGTCTGCAGTAAAACACTTTGACCCGTAAAGTAGCTTTACTTTGGAAAAGACATCTACAAGCTGAACTTGAAAGCGCAGTGAGGGAGTGATAAAATGCAGCTCTGTAACCTGTAATTAGTTTCTTAAAGCCAGAAAAAAAATGAAACACAGTTTCTTTTCAAACCAGATCTGTAACCTGCATATCATTTAGGATACTGGGTCTAAAAAGTCCAAGTCTGCTGCAACAAATGACAGCTCACACAAGACCTGAGATCCAAATAAACATAAAACAGTTACTTTCAACTGTCACCACGTGCTACTTTACAAATTGTCTAAATTTATAAATGTTGCTAAAACTTTGACACTTGAACTCAGGGTTCTTTAATTTTGCCTTCGATTCATAATAACTGGAACATGGATCAAAATATATAATGCACATTTGCTTGATTTTGATCAAGCAAATTTGCTCGCTTCATAATTAGTATGATGTTTTTATGGTGTAATGCACTTTATTGCCAAAATATGCTATACAAATAACTTTACTTACTTCAATCCTTAGAGCCTCTTTAGATATAATTGATTACCCATTAGCATAAAAATAAACTGGCTATCTATATTGTACAATAATTAGGATCATTGTACTGTATTTTCACTTCTATTAACCAAACAGATTTTTACTGATTTTGGACTGAATTGAATTGTACATAACTGCATATGAATTTTTAAAGTGCCTACAGATGCAATCTGCTGTTATTTAGTGCTGTATAAATAAACTATATACCTGCAGGGCTCATTAAGGTTATTTTCCTACCATGATTTTATTTAATAATCACCCTTTTTGAGCCATTTTTTACCCAAAGGCAACACCTTTGTCTCCCTCTTCTGTCAGTGGGAGTAATTACACCCTTGACAAACGTGGTGGATATGAATAAGCCCCAACATAATGACGCTTGCCAGGAAGCACTGTAAAACACTGACTCTCATCACAATGGCACAAAATGGTGGGAATTCAATATGAGGTATAAAACAAACACTGAAGATATGAATTTTTTTTTTCTTCCTTCTTCTTGTGTTAAAGAGGTTCTTTGTTTTTTTTAATGTAATCAATCAAATGAACAGCACAAGGTCAAGCCTCAACGAACAGAAATCGGTATCAGCCCGAAACTAATTCTTACTTCTTTTAAGTGTTTGCGAGATTTATCTTAGGAAACAAAAGACAATTCTCTGAGCCAACCAAATGTGAGGCTTTGTGATGCTGTGGCTGGGTAACCTAGGAGAAACAGGATGGTGTATCGAGACTATAAATCATCTGTTGAAAAGCTCCCAGAGAGCTTCCAGCTCATCCACCTGCTCCTTTCTCAAAATCCTCTCTCTTTTTACTCATGATTACCTCAAATCAGTATGTTAAATTCTCAGTGACAACAAAATGGATAAACCCATAAATTCATAACACATTCAGAGGTCATGAAGAGGGCAGCTTATAACATATCCAAGCTTATTCAGTTGGGGGAAATCTCAGAGGAGTTTTTCTTCCAGTAATATTTTCTCTTTGGTTAAAAATCTATTTTCCAAGCATGAGCACAGAAGCTGTCCGAATCACAGATTTTAGATAGCAGAGCAACAAACTGATGTTATTCTGCAAAACATTAAGGAGCCTTTTTGATGCGTTATCTATTACACAAGTACATCACTATCTGTGGCTGAGATAAATCCCTGCAATTACGGGCGAACAGACATTTTAATCAGATACAACTCTGTTCGCACAGCACTGCCAGTATGTAGTGGATGTACAATTGGTAACAGGATAATTCCTCCTTCTAATCATTTTTTGTAAATCACTGTTGATAAGCGAGTCAGCTAAAAACCTAGAATATAAATTGAATAACCTGCAGCTCCCAGACTCTCGACCATCTGCTCAAACCCAGCGAGAGGAGTGACAGCAGCGCATAATGAACAGAGCATGTCACAGAGTTTAGTCCATGTCATCAGGAACAGGGGTGGGAAAAAGATGGCGGGAGAATAATATTGAACATGTAATTGGGAGAAGCCTGAGCAGACAAATGTTGGCGGACATTTTAATGAATGCCACCAGGTTGACGAAGATGAAGGCACATTTCACTGAATTGATGCATGAAGGCTCAATCAGACACAGACATCTCATTCACATGCATTTATGATGATGAAGCAATACAGCTTCACAAACTTGACTGATTGAACAAAATCCTGGAACTGTTTTCCATGCTGAATCTACTCCATTGTAATTTTGTTGATTATTCTCCAAAGAAGTCCTACTAATTCAGTTTATTCTTGCTTTCATACAGTAAGTCTTCCCAGGAGTACATTTTGCTAAATAACACCTACAATAAAAATTAGCCATCTTGTATACAACTGCTAATAACAGATTTGTGGTTTGAAATTAGTTTGCTCATTATTTTTTGTCAGATGGATAATTTTTTTATATTTATTAACTGAAATGTTCAAATGAATTCAGCACAGTGTTCATGTACAGCATACAAACCTCGGCTCACTGAGAATGGAGATCACACATTTTCTCTGTGGCCCCACATTTGTCCATGTCTTCGCCTGTGATACAATTGCACTGGCATCAAGCAGACCGTATCCATATGAATGACTAACTGCAGAAACAAAGAGAGAAGAGAGATGAGATTTTCAGAAATGTCCTGAAGGTCTGCACTGGTCCAGTTTTAGACACAGATTTCAATTTGATACACGTTTTTAGTTCTCATTCCCAGGTCACGTTTTAGCATATCTTTTTAGCATGAACACTTTTGTGATTGCATTAACTGCACTTTTGGGCATTGTAGATCAAAAGATCATCATCTCTATGCTAAAGCATTTGTTGGACATCAAAGGTCCTATCTTGTTGATGCGTCACCAACAACCTTTTATATTTGCCTTGGAGGTGCCACAAGGCTCCTTTATCGGACCGCCTCTTTTTTCTCTTTTCTCACCAGAATCATAACATTTCCTTTCATTTCTTTGAAGACTGCCAGATTTTCTGTCCACTAAAGATCTTTGATATTTTTGCTCTAATATCAGGAGATAATAGGAATTGGATTTCTGAGTCTTCATGACAATAAGACTTATGTCAGGCTGTTCGGGTTCAGTCTCACCAGCAAATACTTCAGCTGTGCCTCCCGAACCTCATTTGAGTATTGAGGTGTGAGGATGGAGTCTTCATAGACTCCATAGTCTAAGAAGACCTTAAATGGACTGGTAAAGTCCTGTTTTTTCCTGCTTAATTGGTTGTCAACAATGAGTGTGTATTCTCTCTTGATGAAACACTGAAATACTAATCCTGCTATAAGACTGTGTCTTGATTGCCGTAATGCTTCTTTGTGGAATTAGTCCACTTCCCATGTTTCATTTACAACTGGGAGCAAATGGCTGCAGTTGAGTTTTAACTGGTACAAGCAAAGAAAAAGAAAAAAAAAAGGAGAGCTTATTTCTCCACATTTGGCACCCTTTCCTGGCTTTTTCACTGCATTTCCTTTTTTTGTCTTTAAGCCTCTTAACAGTTGCGCTCCATTTTATCTGTCTGAACCGCTGCATTCTAATGTACCGCCTCATTCCCTCAGGTCAGAAGACTAGATGCTTTTATATGTTCCAAAGATGTGATGAAACCTCAGAGGACGTAGAGATTTTCCTGCTGGAGACCCAAAACTGCAGAATGCTTTGGTTTTGTATCAAGCAGGTACATTTTCTTATGGTTTCTAAACCTCTGACTTTTAATCCAGCGTGAATTACTGACAGTGTCTTCAAATTCATTTCCTCTCTATCCTGCTTGTTCTAATCCTTGACTATTTTATTCTTCATGACATCCGCTGTTCCTGTGTGATTTGTTTATTTCTTATGTTTGGTTTAACTGTGCAGCACTTCTGTCAGCGTGTTTTATTTTTATTGGATTATAGACAAAAGACTATGGCACTGTAAATCCAGTATTGTGCAAAAGTTTCAGGCAGGTGTGAATACCTGATGAATACTTTCAACACTGGAAGTGTCAGGTTATTTTAGGGTTAGGGTTAGGGTTACTGTCCTACTCTCCGACCATTTCAGCTGCATCCAGATATTTACATTTTGAATCATGAGTGCTTCTATTTTGCTTCTATTTTTTTCTTGACTCCAATTGGGAGTCTACCAGCCTCATATCACGCGAAAGAATAAGGCTTTTTCTCTGTACCTCTCTTACAATATCCACATTTGGTCATACTTCTCTGAAAAGTAGAAATAACTTGAACTAACCTGTGACTTACTTAAAACTGACCAATAAAAATAGATTATATTTCTGTACCTTTGCGTCCAACTCCATTGGTTCTCCAGTCATTGGCGAGCAGGTGAGCAGGCCGAGAAGTTCGCACAACCAGATGTTGCATGTCCCTCCAGGTGAGGTTTTTACTGGAACAAATGGAAATGGATGTCAGCACGTAAAAAAGGCACATACAGGCTAACGTGTAATAATATACGCTCTTGTAAATCAAGCTGAAGCTCCCAAGATTAGGCTAGAGTTTTAACTTGCAGGTGGAGAGATAATTATAAACAATGAGCTCAGTGTCCAGGCAGTCTCTTACATCTTCAGCCAGCATGTGGTTTGAGGCTCATTTCAGCCCTTTGGCAAAACTAAGAAAATCTCTACTGTTATTCTTTTCTGAAGAATACTAAGATTTAACTGGCAAAAAAGGGGTAAACACCTTTTCTGCAGTCAGAGCCTGATTTATCTCCTTTTCATTAACGTCATACAAGCTTTAAATCCATTACTGCTTTTTATTGTGGATCTGGCTTAAATGACGACATTTACAAAGTAACTCCAGCTAAATCCTCTCATCAAATTCATTTCCATCTACAGTTTTTCCCTCAGTCATTTCACTCTGCTGCAAGACTAATTACTTACATCCAGCCTTGTGATTAACATATTTTATAACCGTCCATTAGTGCTGGGTGACCAGATAAGAATGATTAGTGCTCCGAGCTATTTGTAAAAGCACAATTTGAATATGTGGCAGACGGCTTAAATAACTTTCTACTTTAATTTTTAAAAATAGAAAAACAGCATTAAAATGAATGCTCACAACACAAGCAGAGGTGACTTAATCCAACATGAAGGCTTTGAAACATATCAATTTATTACTCTTTTTGAAATATTCACATTTTTTTAATGAAGTGTTTGCTGTTAGGAGTTTTTGAGCCACATGGCAGAAACTGATAACATGTGGCCATTAATTCAAGCTGCTTTGAAATCTAATTCACTCAAACTAAAAACTCCCAGACTGTCCCTATGAAAATGAATGCACAACGAGCTCGCTGTGTACACTGTTTTTCCTTTTTGTGCATTAGATTAATATGAATAAAGTAAATATGAGTAAATATATCAGAACTTAAATGAGGCACTGCAGCTCATGGTGCAAACTCATAGAAAAGTGGTGATCAGCACTTACTTGGCTTCTAGGGCGAGAGCGATGATCCCAGCAGCCAGTGGGGCGGAGGCAGAGGTGCCGGTGTGAGAGTCAGTACATTTGGATTTGAGGTCTGTTGTTATCTGAGGAAGAGAAGCAAAAAGATTAACACATTTGCTTCTTTTTCTTGCCATTTTGTTTCACTTAAAAGTTTCAAACTAAATTTAACTAACAGTGTGATGTAGACTGGAAATGTGATGGAGACCAAAACGTCTCACTGTGAAATGGGTGTCGGTGTAACTGTGACCTGCAGATCCAAATAAATCTACCTCAGCTACATTGTGTCGCTTTGCCTCCTTCCTGAACGCAGAGCCTCCGTCGGTCAAAGTGACACACAGAGAATCAGCATAAGATGTTTTCTTTAAAAACCGGTTGTATCACCTGTGTTGGCAACAACAGGCATCGAGAGTTTATGATAACAGACGAGATTTTTTACGTCGCTATGGAGAAATTATGACCCAGTCTTGTTATAGTTGTTTTACTTAAGATGCTTTTTCAAGCATCTTAAGGTCATACCACACTAAAGCAATCAGATGTAGGTCTAGGCTTTGACTAAGCCATTTTAAAACCTAACAATGTGTTTCAGATTACTGTCTTGCTGCTTATCCCAAGTGTGCTTGATTTTAAGGTCACAAAGCGATGAGTGAACGTTCTGATAATAAGTAATGGATCCATTAACTCTGGCAAGTCATCCAAATATTGAAACAGCAATATAGCCACAGAACATTACACTCTCAGCAATATGTTTGACTATCATGTTAATGTATTTTTTCCTGAATAGCTGTCTTAGTTTTAAACCAGATGTAGCAAGGCACACCATTTTCATTAAGTTCCACTTTTGTGTGGTCAGTCCACAGAACACTTGGAAATCAAAAAAGTATTTCTCAGATCCAAGATGCCTGTTTGTTCTCACTGAGCAGTGGTTTTCACAAACCCCCCTGGATGCCCTTTTTGCCCAGTATTACTGAATCGTGAACATTGACCTTAACTGAGGCAAATGAGACCCGCAGAACTTTAGGTGCTGTTCTGGTTCTTTTGTGACTTCCTGGTTGAATCCAATTTGGAGTAATTTTGGCCACTGTTGCACCCTTAGACTTTGTAACCCTTTCTGAACTAATAGATATCAATGAGTTGGTTTCTGATCTGATCTTGTGTTTCTTCATACAAGTGTGTGACATCTTGCATTTTAAGATCTTTCATGTTGCCAGAAAGGTTATATTTAAGTATTTTTTTATTATAAAGGTCAACAACAACAAAAAAGTCTGGGTGTTAAAGGTTTAAAAAAGTGGCAACAAATTTTTCAAAAAGGGCCAGGTTTTTTTTGGAAAGCTTTGTTCCTGTAATGAATAAAATTATCATTTGAAAACTGATTTTTGCATTTTGGTTAACTTCAAATTTTAAACAATATGTAATATGGTTTTATAAATCTAAATGCATTCAGGCATGTTAGTGCAAGTATACTTTATAATAATGCTATATTACAAATGCTAAACAAGCTTCGTACAAGCTGACTTGCACCTTAAAAATGTATTTTCAGGATTCCCTTCAAATAACCAGATAACTTGGAATTGGCCTCAGTAAAATGAATAAAATCCTTTACTCCTCACCACATTCTCATATGTTATCCCATACTGCTTGTATTTGCTAGAGGCAAGAATCATCAAACGCATAAAGAAGCAGAAGGTTAAAAGTAAAAAGCCGCCAGCTAGAAAATCAAACCGCGGAAAGCATGTGCTCTCCTTCTCTTTAAGAGAGACTCCTTTTAGAATGAACTGCTTCAGCAGACATCCCCTAAGTGATCCACAGCGGAGGATTGTGGATTCACTGGCCAGCTCCCAGATGTTAATATCTCCCACCGCAAGAATAAGAAGTAAGTTGCTGCAGAAGCAGAGAATTTTTTCAAAGAAAACTCTGTCTCCAATGAAAGACTTTTTCTATGTCAGAAGTCTTACATATGAAAAGCCTGCTGTCCTGCAGGATGATGCAAAAGAAGAGGTCTGTCTGTTACTGAAGAAGAATGATAAAATAAAAGCTGGAGATATTTCCACAAGCTTTATAGAATGATTATTTTAAAAAATAAAAAAGTTTTGATATTTCTAGAAGCTCCCCCTTACTTCATTTGGTTTCTAGTTTCGTTTCCAAACCAAAACAAAATATTTTAAGATCAAAATATTCTCTGTGGTATAACCTCGCAGATGTCAACATCTCTCCTCTTCTCTAGCTCTTTATTTTAAAGTTCATGAGTGACATCATAATTAAGACAGTACATCACAGACACATTAAGGGACCAGCCACATGTCATGAAGTTGTCATCGGCTGCCTGTCAAGCTCTTCACGCTGCATGGCTGCATGCTATGAAGAGGCAATCTGTGTGTGTGCGTGTGTGTGTACGGGTGTGTCTGCATGTGTAAGAAAGAGATTTAATGCTTGTCACAAGAATGTTAAACAGAAACAGATTTGATGGATAGAGCTCCAGCAGTTTGCTATGAACTTTTTAATGACTCAAAACAGCACAAAGTCTGAAGAAAAGGTATGTAGCAATTGCAACAATTAACTGTTAGTTGAAATGGAAAAACATCTGCAGCAATAAATTTGACGATGGGTTAATGTACTAAAAAAAACATTGTTAATCAGTTAATTCACTTGCTAAGAAGGTAAATATCCAAAGTGATTGATTTCAAAATGTGTGGGTATTTTCTACTGTTAAGAATTATATTAAACAGGAAATACATGTACATGTGTAGTTATAAATGTACATTTATAGTATTTTATCTAATTCGTCTCTTTCAGCAGCAATCAGAATTCGCAACAACCAGACCAAATCTGATCATTTAAGTCATGACGTATCATTTTCAAAAGCATTTCTTCATCCATACTGATGACATGTCAATGAAAGTGTACATCAGTTTACATTCTTCATCCATCCATTTTTGCCTGTCTTGAAATATGAATCCGGTTTAGGCAAATCCTGCTTTTCCGAAGGGACACTGAGGCATTTCCAAGACATTCAACAGATATAATCTGTCTACATTTGCTTCCTGTCAGTTAATTTGGACACTCCTAAGCTAACAAATGTCAGGTTTACTGGATGCCTGAACCCATTTAGAATTGCTCCTTTCAATTTAGAAGAAAAACAACTTTTCCCTAGTGATTGTGCTTCTCTGCATCGTCCTCTAAACATCCTCAGAAGAGCAACACCCTTGTTTAATTTTGTTCCAGATAGAGAAACAATCTGAGGTTTAATCTCTGACTCTGGTAGCAAACAGGACCAGATTGCAAACATAAAGAAGGGCCGCGACTCACTGGTGTAATCGAAGATGCAGATGAAAAACAATCTGTCTTTTCAACATTTAAATATAGGTCAAACTTTTTTCCCTCAAATTATTGTGTGTGAAGATAGTTCCCTGTCTGAAGTCTGCAGCAGAATCTGTGTGCGTCTGTGTGTGTTGCACACATCAGCTGTGTTTAACTCCCCCGATCAAGAGTATTAAAACAAACATGGCGGATAAAGCGTCTGACTCACTCATAAAGAATTCTGGTTATTCAGATTTCTCAAACACCGAGAAATGTTTGAGAAATGTTGAAAATATGCAAACATGGTCACTCAGCAATTCTTAATGGGGGAAAACAAGCAGAGAAAGTATTTAAATATACAAAGTGTGAGTATCTGCTTTCGATATGTCCACTAACCTGAAGACAAAGTAATTACCTTACAAAAACCTTTTTTGCCTAGATTGAAGCAGTCCAAACAAGTTCACAGGCTATAGCGACAAAACAGTTTGTCCTCCCTGCAGAGACATTAACAAACATCTGAATATTATCTGTCAATATCTCTGGGAGAGGGAAGTTGAAATCTCAGCTTACTGCACTTTTGAAGGCTTCACACTAAGTGCCTTATAGCTGAAATATTTTTTTTATTTTATTTATCCAGTTACTAAAGGCAAAAATTTAATATTTAAAAAAAAAATCCAAAACCTCCATCTGGTCAAATATTTCAGGAATGACAGCAGGTCCACTTTGAAACCCATGAGCAGAGAAAGGACGGAGAAACTCAAAGTAAAGTCAAAGCTTTTGTGCGACAGAAACATGAAAAGACAGACAAACGCAGAGGACACGCTACCCTTGACCCCAACTCACAATCTGTTTCTCATTGATGTTCCCCGAGCTGTAGGTGGTGGCGAGGGTGGAGGAGCAGGCCTCGCTGTACCAGGGGACGTTGCCATTCTGCGTGGTGCTGCTGATGGACAGAGTGTAAATGCTGTTGGTGTACCCGTCGCAGTTACAGCTGTCCTTCTCCCTTCCTCCGTTCCCAGAGGCCCACACGAATATGGAGCCCAAACCGCCACGACCCTGAGGAGCAAAAAACATTCTTATAAAAAAAGCTGAACACTAGCAGTGGGTGAAGCAAACTTAAAGGTCTTATCACAATATTTTGCAATAGTATTGTGATAATAAAAGGGACAATAAGTACTATTTATCGTTTCAGGGCAATCATAGGCCCTGAAACACAAATAATGCTCTTGAAAAAGATTCCCATTTGAAAGGTGTTTCTTTACAACACCTGCCACATAAACATGTGTGATTCATATCAATAAATGTATCACATTTATTGATACTTTCATTAGACAAAAAGCAGAACAAATAGTAAAGTTGTCAATCATAGCAATATGGACAGTTTTGTAAATTGGAATTTATCGCAACAACAATAAATCACAATTCTTATAGGAAATTTATCACAATAAATGACAAATGATACGATAAATGCCTGCCCTACTGAACACGCATCCTTTCACTTAATTACTTCACAGACCAACAACAGACAAAGAAGAAGCGATTCTCATTCAAACTTTAATAAGAATCCCAATTACAGGAGGGTGACTGTATCCTGGGCCGTCCCTCACAGAGGTCCCATTAAAACCCAGTGTACGTCGCTGAGGCCAAGGTGGTCACTCAGTAAATTGCAAAAAGCTAAGTATCGCATGACAGCAATGCAATACATAACGACTCAAAATGACAACAGCTCATCGTAATAAATCATCTGACCTCTCAGCCTTTAAAGTGCAATAATTTTCATCTAAGAGCTGCTTTATTGTATTGAGTGGCACCATCTCTCCGTGTGTTGATCAATTCCAGTGATGCACCACCCACTCCACTATCTGACAGTGCTGTCACAGTGCCAATTATCTTAGTAGTCGGTGTCAGTGCTTCCAATCAGCTTTATGGGACATGCTTTGAATCCTGCAGCCTCACAGCAAGAGACAAAGCGTAGCAGACAGTGTGAGGAGCGATCTGTATTCTTATAATTCTGTTGACTTGTTCATTTCTCATGTGGTCCCAATGTGCCAAATGCAAAGAGCTGCGATCAGCAACAAGACTGTCGACATCACAATATGCATCTTTTCATGTTTAATATTCAGACCGCTACTGTTAAGATGCTGACAGACTGGCTTTTAGCATTAATCTTCTGAAATCTCCAATCTTTGTGCATATATATATATATATAGACATTAGAAATTAATTGGGAATATTTAATCATTCAAAGCTGCAGGAAAGCCACCTTTATTATAAAAACAGTTGTTCAGATGACAACACTGCTTTAAAACAAAAGCAGAGAGACAGTTTTTTCTTTCCCCATTCTCTCTGATTGTCCTCGATGGCGGCTTTTAGAGGACATTTCTTCTCATTCGGGATGGCCAGGGTCAAAAATGGCTTTGTCCCTCTTGCTGGTGTCCTCTCATGCCTGAACAGTTCAATTACTTACTGGTGAAAGGAGGCAAAACAGAGGCAGTAAATAATTCTGCCCCACACAGACACAATCATACACCCACCTCTGTGACTCCTCGAAGAAAGGCTTCCTTCGCCAGTTTAGCGGGTCCATCGACTGTTTTGCCGTCGTCCTCTGGGCCCCAGCTGGCACTGTAGATGTCGATATGTTGCGGATTCAGACTGAGAGACTGGGCCTCCACCATGTCAGTCACTTCTCCATCCAGCATGCGCACTCCTGCACTCCAACAACAGATTGTCTTTAAGCACTTCTCACTGAGAGAAGAAATGGTAGTTTTATATGAATATCTAATGCACACAAATCACCAGCTGTATATGATTTATAGTCAAAGATCCTGTCTTCAAACAAGGTTAATCCAACTTTAGATGAACACCACATGACCTCGTTATGTAGTTAATAAAAACTAAGCCAAGGTGCCGAAGCAGTGTGTAAAAAAGCTGATTACATATTTAATAATGTCACTGCTATTAGGAGGATAAGCAGCAGCCAGTAAATCCGATTAACTCGTCGTCAGCCAGTGAGAATCTCTATAAATGGCAAAAGTTTTGGCAGTTGCTGCTTTGGTGCATTAAGATGAGTCAACGAGGGCGTGCTGTGGTGGCGTAGGGGTTTAGCACAACCCAGTATGAAGGCCTTTGTTCTTGACGCAGCCGTCGCGGGTTCGAGTCCTGGTGACATTTGCCGCATGAGATCCCCTCCCTCTCCGTCCCCTCTTTCCTGCCATCCTACTTTCAAAAAATACGGGCCACTAGAGCCAACAAAAATCCTCAAAGAAAAAAAATATATAAATCAAGAAAGGCTTTTACAGGCATTTTAAGATGGTATAGTGCCTTTTAACAGATGCATCTCAATAAATTAGATTATGATTTACTTTAGCTACTCTTTTAAAAGAGAACCATGTGAATTACAAGAATTCACTACAGTCCTAGTGATATGTATTTTATTTATATTTTTGATGATTAAGGCTTAAAGTTGTAACTCTTCAATACAATATATGTTTCTCCGAAAATTTTACTTTGTAGGTTCATATTATATTTGATCAGATATTATTTGATATAGATTTTAGTGATCGAGATGCTAAATACCATCAAGAGCTGTGAAGACTCTGAAAAAAAAAGAATAATGAAGTTAATGTTAGCTAGTCACAACAATAACAATATGCTATGCTGCTATCATGAGTATCTACTCACAAGTAAAAAAACATTTTATAAAACAAATAGTGTTTGTTGGAAAAGACATTCAAGCCAATCAGCGCTAAAAAAGCTCTGCACAAAACAGCATAATCTACATATCTCTCTCCCTCGCCTCACTTAGGGTTTTCAATCCTCAAGTTTGATAGAGTAGCCGGAAGAAAACATCTGCTAGAAAATGAGGTGACAGGAAGGCTTAGCTTTGCAAAGCTGTGCATGAACAAACCACATAACTTCAGGCAAAAAATATATACATAAAAAAAATCTTGTTGACAGACAAAACAGGAGAGATTAAAACTATAACACACAGCTCCGAGTTTAGTAAAAACAAATCACTGCAGAGAAGAACAAACACCTTGTATCAAAAAATGCAGAGGAGAGGAGTGTGACTGCAAAAATTTCTTTCTGCAGTCACAAGACCCTGTAAAGGTTGTGGCTGGTGTCAACTATAAACCCCTCTGTACTGAAAAGTATGTCCAATAGCTAAAGTCTGGTCCAAATTGGGTCATGCAACTGGACAATAACTTCAAACGCTAAAGCAAATTCACAACATAATGACTCAAAATGCTGCCAAAAATATGGTTCACTCGTCAACAAGGATGCTGCTAAGATGAGAAAAACTTAAATGCTTCCTCTTAGTGATTGATATGCATATTAACATGTGTTATAAATTATGTAACCTACATGTGTTTCATGTAAAGAACATTCAGAATGGAAGGAAATGCCGCCAGTGTACATCTGCTATCATTTCAATTTAGAGCCAGCAGCATAATTCAAACAGTAACTATTGATTTTTGTCTGTACTCGAGATGGCTGAAAAAGAAATACCAAAGGAATGAGATCTGTTGAATCTTGAGTGAAATCTCCTTGAGAGTTAAGAAGACATCTGAGACAAAGCATTCACCAAATAAAGGAAAAGGTACTTGACTCTAAAGACAGGATTAGAGGAGTAAATTGAACCAGATTCGCACTTCATTTTGCAGATGCAAACAAACCAAAGTTAATCAGTAAGGTGCAAATAAAGTGAATTTTTAAAGAACACTCCAAAAAAAAAAAAAAACATGAGCTTTTCCAACCCATCATGTATACTTTATTTTTATGTAATAAAAGAATCTAATAGATTGAAGCAGAAATCAATGTTTCTGTTACAGGTTAAAAGAAGCATAATCTCCTGGAAATGTTTTGAGAACAATTAGATTACATTATTTTATGAATTATTTTTCCAAAGTTGAAAGTCTTATGTAGTAAACAGCTAGTTGTGCTTCATACTGTGCTCAGTATGATTTTACGGTAATTTAAAAAGGCTCCTACATGTGGGTTAAAATAGATTTTCCTTTACTCCATCTGCAACAACTTGTAAAAGAAATGTCATGCATCTCATACATTGTCTTTAATAAAAAGGAAATGTATTTAGATTTGCAGTACAACAGTTATTGAATTTCTGTCACTTCCTTTTTCTCTGACAACATCAGCACAGTACAGAGGAAAAGTGCATTTCAACACAGAAACCCAAAATGCTTTTCCTGTGGAACTCATCTTTTTTGAATTTATGTTATTCTACCCCATCTGTCAACTGTGTGCATTTAGACTGTGAGGTACAAAACTGTGTGGTTTACATAAATTACATCTGCTGATGCTTAGCAGTTCCTCCTCCTGCAAAAGAGATGCTGCTGTCACTATCTGGGGATATAGCTCTCCCACCGCAACAGCGGAGTCCAAAATATGATTTAAAACAATGAAGTCAGACAAATAAAGGATTAATACAAGATAATTTTATAGCATTTATCATTTAACAGCTATCTAAAGTCAGTCCCAAACGCTGTTCAAAGTTAGAACAGATTTAATTCAACTCGGCCAATCCTTCTTCCCAAGTCTGTTTAGTGAAAAGAGAAAGAAGCCGCAGCTGTAAAAAATAAAATGTGGTGATGATTCCCATGCTTCTATGATTATTTCACTGTGATTACCCTCTGAAGTTGATGTAAAATCACTTTAAGCTCAAAGGAAGCTGGTAATAATCCACAGAACTAAACAATTAAAGTCTAAAACTTATGTCCAGAAGGAGCAATAACTCTACAGCAGCTGCCTATCTGTTTCTTTTAAATATCTCACAATAATTAAAGGCTGTGATTTTTGAAACATAACAATAGAATATGAAAATATTACTGGATAGATTCCATTAAAATAATCTTGATGAGAGGACTCACTCCACTGAATTCATTTAATTAATATTTCCACCAAGTCAAATGGATTTTATTGAGTTATTGGAATAGTAAAACACTAATTTTTAATATGACTGTGTAGATTTCAATGTTCCTTCATTGGAAACACACCAACATTACTAATACTGTAAAATAATTTACAGTATTTGTAAATTATATGATTTTAAAATAATCCCACACAAGTCTCACTGGTGTATTTTTAATTTTTTTTATTTTTTGCTAAATTAAAGTGAAAGAGCAATTAGTCTGACATTATTAAAGTGAAAGCTGCTGATGATTCTTTTCCATTGAAGGTTATTTAAAACCCATGGTCACAAAATCTACACAGGCTATTTCCGCTGAACATTGATAAAAACTGAGAGAAGAGAGTTTGACAATATATGCACACAAATTGAATCAAGGCTATAGTATTGTGTCATTTCAGGAACCACTTCTCAAGACTGTTACTCCTTGCAAAACCAATACAGTTACAGCAGCATGCCAATCCTCACAGCTGCAGCAATACTTAAAAAGATTTAGAGACATGCTGTCTGAGAAATGCAGTGAAGAAGTAAAAAAAAAAAAAAATCAGGTGCTGCAGGATCACTATTTTATTTCGGTATTAGGCTATTCAACTTGCAGTCAAAAAAGAACTGTCACGTAGTTTTGAGAAATCAAATCATTACCTCCAATCTTTGCATTGTAGGCAACGCCGATTCCACAGACCCCATTGTTGGCCGCAGCCGCCACCTCTCCAGCACATCGGGTTCCATGCCTGGAAAGAAAAAGAAACAGAAAATCCTTATTCTCGTAAATTTGGTCAACCTGCTGACAACCATTTACTGCACGTGCAGCCAAAAGAGGGATATATGTCTCTTAAAGGTTACATGAGAAAAGAGATCTCCCATCATGTGGTGTGGTGAAGCTGTACAGTGACACGATACAAACTTTTGGAGACAGGTACTTGGCATGGATACTGTTAAACAAATAAATTCATCAGTGTGGGCAATCCATTGTGCATTATCTCCAGCTTTGTAGCATTAGTAACCTTGGAATGCCTCAAGCTTTAATAACGAGGAAACTGTGAATGAGGCTTGCCATTTCCATTAAACATGAGCCCCTGTGGTAAGGGCTAGCTCCAGGCACCACAGTGCAGGGATCCAAAATAAGAGCGCTAGAAGGGCAGACGATCCCACCGCAATCAGGTGTGTGTACCCTTCCCAGCCACATGGATCCACAGGTTTAAAGTGCTAAAACCTTTAGCTGAGTCTACCTGGACAGGAGCCATTCCTAGACAGGAAAGCTGGATCCAAGGCTGTTCATTCACTGCTAAAGAAACACTCTGAACCAGCCAGGCTCAGTGGAGACACTCTAGCTGACGAGCCAAACCAAAACCAAATAATCAAACAACATCAGCAGCCAACATCTTCCACTGATAAAATACTCTGCATATAATGTCAGGGTAAGGACATTTAGCTGTGCTTTAGCTTGTACTCCTGCCAGTGGGGCTATTACCAGTTATTAATCTGTAGTGGATTCTGCTGCCAGAATCCACTACCTTTGGGTAGTGCCTTTTGAACTGTACAAAGAAAAAAATAACAAGAGGTCTGAGGAGGCACAACTTGAATCTTCAAGAACATCTAATTACCATCAAGATTTCTGATTGCATGAAAAAAAATAGCTTGAGTATACAGACATAAGGACAGAGGACTGTAATTCACTTTCCATTTCCCTGCGATTTCTTAAGACAGTGGTGAGCTCAGAGGGTGAAGGCTAACGTAAATGCCATAATCAACAGTAACACCATGACTCCAATATGTCGCAAGATGTTATTTAGAGGGAGATGAGGCTTGACTGAAGCATGCAGAGAGAAACATGGTGACTGGGTATGACTGAAAAAAATAAATAAATAAAACCTCATTGTAGACTCAAAAAGAAAAACACCTTCACACAAAAATGCCATCTGAGTCATTTTCCACTGAGCTTTATCACAACATTCCTGGAAGTGCTGGTGATACTCTTTGGGGTATTATGTTGCTCTGCATCTGTTATTTTTGTGATGCAGCTGATAAGCAGAAGCCAAGGTGTCTGTGATCAGATGCCAGGCATGCACAGACCCATTCCTCTCATTGTCAGCAAAACCCCTTTTCCAGCTGTTTTTAATAGATTAATTTCCTGGGTAGGCCGATGTACAGAATGGAGCAACCCTAGCACAGGTCAATCGTTACACTCTTATTATGCAGAAACTGCTAGCATTATCAGTACTCTTGAACTAATTATCTTGGGAGAGATAAAACAATCCAAGATGCTATCTTCTAACTTCTCCCACTCACTTGTTAAATGCCAAGAAAAACAGCAGGGGGACATCTGACAGTAAAACACTTTAAATAGAGACCTATTCCTTAAACACTCATACAGGGTGGTTCTATCAGAAATATGCCAGGGGATGGCAATGTCACTAATCATCAGGCCACCGCACAGTCCAAATTTTAGCTCCACTGAGAACCTTTAATGGGCTGGAGCAAATCCATCATCAATAGTCTACCAGTGAAACAAATGAATGCAGCGCTGGCAAGAAATCAATGACACATTGCATACTGAAATTGTTAGGAAACAATGCAGACAAAAGAAAAGACAAAGATCTGGTCAAGTAAAATAATAGAGGCTTTCACCCTTTGGGCCGGGCAGTGAAAATACACTGATGACAAATCAAGCAAAGAGCCAAAATAAAGGGTTTCAGGAATGTGCTTAACCACAAAGCTTTGCCAGAAAACCATTGGTACATGTTGGCATTGATCCTGAAGTCTGCAGATCTTCCCTGCAAGATTGGAAATGCCAGTCTTATTGATGATGGAGATGGTGCAGAGAATTATAATACCTGCGCAGTAAAAAAGAAAATCTCTTGTCTAAGCTACATTGAGATCTCAAGACCAAAGGGCACCAAGTAGTTTTAATTAAAAATGACCTTTAAATGCCAAAAGAAAGCCAATTATCTCACTGTATGAACACAGGCTTTGGATTTTCTTTTTCATTTTTATTTATTCCATTTGTTATGGAGCAAAGGCTAAAAACTATAAATCTTTACGGCACAATATCGGGAAAAACAGAAGCGGTCAACAGGATGTGCGTTTATTAGTGGTTCCCCCAGGGGACAACTAGTCCTCCAACAAAAAAGGCAAGATGTGAGGAAATTTTCTTCTGCTCTGTGGTGGCTGAGTAGACTGCACAATGCACAAGATCCTCACAGGATGCACACCAGTAAGCATGGATGTCAGGGGGAACAATGAGCTGATGAGTGGGAATCATTAACAAGTCACCCTGATTAATTCTGCAATACCTGCCTGATGGATTCCCTTACACACTTCACAAACAAAGCAACATTAAACTGCTTACCCAATTTCTGGATACTTGATTATATATTGTAGTTTTATGTAGCTGCAGCTAGTATTTCAGACAATTGTATAGGCATAAAACTTGTAGAGACGCAAACACACGACAGATAAACAATTAATCCACCAAAATTAAGAAGACTGTTCCTGTGCTTCATGCAGTCAAAAAGAAATGATGCAAGAATCAATCAGCGTGGATTCCCCCTAATTTTGACGTATAGTAGCAGGAAGTGCACCGTTGGACTAAAAGGTCAACACCTTTTTTTTTCACACAACAAATGTTGCATGCAACTTTCTGATAACAAAAGAAACAGGAAGATAAATGTGGTTTGTGTTTTAACACTTATGTCCTAACACATTCACACCAGAATCTTGAGCAGTTCAAGGAAAAAGAAAGTAAAACAAATGCTTTTTGGGTTCCGACATACTCTTCAGCCTTGTCAGATACACGTTGTGTAACAATAGTAACCACAATTAATGACAAAAATAAAAAGTTTTGTTGAAACATATGGAGAACCAGTCTGATGGAGGACTGTTGGTACAGAACACAACTTGGTAAGGTGAACAATATAACCTAAAGAAGACAAACTACCAGCATTAACCAAACTAAAAGGCTTCCAGAAACCATGTAAGGGAGATAGTAGTGCAAAACATGTCTTCCAACCTTATCCAACCTGCAGAAATAGCACATTAGAGAGTAAAAATGGGAGAACAAGCTCTTTTATTTGTCTGTTTATGAAGAACATTTGCGGAAAATAAGGAAATATTAACATCAGACGGACCCGATCTGATACAATCCAAGAACCGGATCTGATACGGGCATCATTCTTTCATCTAATGTTAGGTTTATAGACGACATTGCCTATATGGCACAGTATCCTATTCACTTATACAACACGAAACATTTCGGTTAAAGTATTTTGGATTGGAATAGGTAGCTGATTTAAATGCAGATAACAGAATGATCTTTATCCAAGAATCATAAATTGGAGCATCTCTATGGTTATAACAGGTGAGATCTAAATGTGGCTCCTGCTGTTTAAACTTAATGTGAAAACTTGGCTCAGACAAACAAAAGAAGAACAGAAATCATTTAAAAAGGATGTGATTGCATAGGATTAGAAAAATTACATTCTTAACAGTTGTGCAACTGAAATGGACTGAGACATTCAGGATGTTCACACATAGATTTTAAGAGAGTATCACTCCAATTATTATCTTTAGAGTGCCAGCGCTCCCATATTTAAAGATTTACACAAAGCATATGATTATGAATCTCGCCTCGGAGCTCGATTACATTAAGACAAAACTTTTGAATAATCCGAGGTTCCCGAGGTTGTAGAAAGTGGCATCTGCAGTTCAATAGTTCCTTGCTTTCACAAAACCTCAAAGGTAAATCAGAACAAGTGTTCTGCTCTGCTCCTTCTTGAGTCAGTTAATGGGCCTGTCTGTTAACTAATGAGCTGGTCTGCAGCACAAAAGGGCCAGTGATTTTTTTAAAATCCAAAGTAAAGAAACAAATCTTTCCAAATAAAATAAATTAAGCATGTCTCAGGGAAGTCAAGCATCACTTGATTGCAGTTTTGAAAAATCTTCCTGAGTTTTCTGTATTTCTTTTATATGCTTGTTATACATGTCGGAGATTATCTAAAAATATATATATAATTAAAAATACAACAGCTGACACTAAATGCACTTATCCAAGTTTATGGTTGAACTTATACACTTCTATAAGCAATTCCATCCACAAAAATAATTTGAAAATCATCCAATCATTTGGAGAAAACCCTGTAAAGAGAAACATCTAGATTACATGCTGCTTTAGATAAACATGAGGGTAACTGGTGCTCTCCACATCTTGCATGCCGTGAAAGAAAGGCAGCCTTATGGGAGTGAACAGAGTTGGGCTTTCAGAGGAGAACAGACAGTTACAGTCTCTCACATTTTTAGGCCCTCACACAGGTTGTTTGCACGTAGATCTGCACTAATGGTACAGTATAGCATACCAACATATGTAGAAGCACACATACAAACGTTCTCCCTCTAAAGTGGTCCAGCCAGATGGAAGCCACAAAGGGCTGGGTGGCTCCAGATAGGAGCTGGAGTTTGTTTGTGAGAGCTGGAGAATGAAGGTTAATCCACATGGAGGAAAACCTCAATAAGAAACGTCTTTGCTGGGCTCTAGGCCACAATGAACCCCAGGAGGGGCTTAACCTTCTTCAACATAGATTTTTGACTTGAGGAACTGCACAGGAGGGATTTTGATATCAAATCTTTCTCAAGGAATACCACTATTTAGGGTTTTATTAATGATAGTGGGATAACTTTCCCAGAGTGTCTTGAAAATCACTCAACTAGTCAGCACTAGAAAGCCACGGTTTATTGTTTGAATTGGATCATTACTTGTCAAACTTTTTCTCCCAGTTGTGTGTGGGTTTAAACAAGTAACCTATTTTTAGTGGGATTAGATTCACAGACCTATGGTTGTCCGCCCTCTCTCCCAGGATATCACACAGACATACCACCAATCTTCCATCTGTAGCTTACAATCCACCTCGTTTTCCCAAAGTCTAATCTTCTCTGCCCATCATCAGCAATCACACAGCGCCTCTCCTTAAAAAGGTTTCCCGGGCCAGCGGCCAACACACAGCAGATTACTGCAAATCAGAAATTAAAGGGGGGAAGCAGGGGCAGGCAGTAAGGGTGAGGGAGACAAGTAGGGACCTTTCTGAGCCAAGAGATTTGCTGTTTCATTAATGCTGATTAACTTAATTCAATCCAATTCACTGCAGGGCACCATGGTGGCGATAAACAAGCCCTAATGTCATCTGGAGACACCGTCATAATAATGATGTTTTCTACATGCAATACCTTAATGCCACAGCAAATTTATTCAGACTATAAGAGAGTCTTGGTAGTACTGTGCTGCTTTAGGAAGCCAGAAACCCGAAGTCCTGCTTCCACAGAGCACTACAAATCAATGCGATGGACTATTTTGTCTGTTTTCAATGTAAAAGAAGTCTTTATAATCTACCCCAACAGCACTAATTCCTGGGCCAACTTCAGCTGTAGGTTCGTAGGACAATGCTACGGTAGCTATTGGCATCACAAAACACAGTTCAGAAAAACATCACTGCTTGTGATAAGCATCAGACATACTAGTGCGTCAAATTTGCTGTTGCATTAGTATGACGCAAAGTAAGGCATTTGGGTTTAACCTCACCTGCCTACTTAGGACCGAGAAGGTGGTAGAAATTCTCCCCCAGATAACCCGGGTCATAAACCAAACAGGTTTATGGCCGAACAGCAAAGACCCATGTCGCATGTACCACTCAATGGAAACAAAGAAAAGGTTTAGAAAGTACCATAACAAAGAATTAGGATTTTCTGGAGTCTGAGAGTGCATCTTAATTAATTAATTAGATTGTCCTTAAAAACTTTGAATATTTCAGTAATGGAAATAAAGAACTGTATATCCATATTAATTATAGAATGATACATTTTAAAACTTTTAGTGATGATATTTTTATAATTATGGCTCATAGCTAATGAAAACCAAAAACAAAGCGTCCGACAAAACTCCAATATTTCATTAGGCAAATAGAACGGAAATGTTATGTTATGTAAAGGACTGCTGATTTGACAAATGTCCCACAGAAAATCATTGAGATCCTGAACAAAGAAGATAAACTATAAAAAGGTCTGAGCTGAAGAAGCTGACTGCTCATGCGGTGCTAAATCCAAGCATATCAAGGGAAAATTAAGTGGAAGAAAAGTGTGGTGGGAAATGCATAAGTTTACAGGAAAATTTTTAGAAATACGGGTGATTCAGAGAGTCCTGTCACTTGCTAGTGTTGTGTCTGTAGTCAAAAAGCCAATGCAGAGGAATTCCAGGACATTTTAGAGCAATCCATGACTCACTCTGGTAACCTGCTTTATGCTTTATTCATTTTCCAGAAGGACTTGGCACCTGCTCATACTCCCAAAAGTACCTATTCCCGCTTCAGTGACCAGGATATCACTGAGTTTGACTGGCCAACAAATTGACCTGATCTAAACTCCAAACAGAGACAAGAACAGGAGCTGAAGGCCGCTTTACAATTTTCAGTAGGCTGACATTTCTCTTCTAAAAAATACTTCCTTTTTTTTTTCAGATTTTGTGTATATGCCTAAAATCAGCGAACCTGTGATAATCATTAATCATCAAATAAACATTTCTAATTCCTCAATTTGTAAGTAAGTAAAATCATTTTCTAAATTTAAGGAGTAAAAATCACTTATTTACTTTAATAAACTTTTTATGTAGTTATGGGTGGTAATTATTTACACACTAGAAGTGTGATGAAAGCAGAAACTGAACAGGACTTCCTCTCAGCATGTGTCCAACAGAGGCACATTTACAGAAGTAGCAGCACAGTAGGCCAGGGAAAGAAGACACAAAGCAAGAGAACAGATAAAACTGTGATCAGTATAAACAGCTACCTGTTGTCATTAAGCTGCGTGTACCGAGGCGTAGGATCGGGGTCAGCATCGTTCACATCATAACTAGCTTCCGGGTCCTTTAAAAGACAGAAGAGCAGCTTGCGTCATCAACTGTTGGTTCATTTCTTTTTAACTTATATACCCAAAATTTGCTAGGTTTTGTGTGTGCATTTTTTTCATGTACTCACATAGTTCTGCGACAGGTCAGGATGGTTCTTCTCTATCCCATCATCCAGGATAGACACCACCACTCCTTTACCTGTGTAGCCCAACTGCCATGCAGCTTTGGCATTCAAGTCCTGGTGGTTGCGGTTGTACTGAGAGCAAAGATGGTAGATGTATGAGAATAAAACTCATTATGGAATAGAGAAGAAAACACAAGACAACTTAATATTTTAAGAATCACTCCTTTTTTGGGTGAAATAAATACAACTTTTATTACCGTTTGCATTATTCCACTTAAAGTGAAGCAGTGATGGTATGAGGAGCATCAAGCGTGTATATTTAAGGATATCAGTATCAAATTTGCTCTGACTACACTTCCTATTGCTAGCAAGCAAAGTAACAGTGAGGTGAGAAAGGGCATACCGAATGCAATTTGCATGCTTTTGACGTTTAACTTGACCTTTCATCAAAAGTCACATTGGACTTTCAAACGGTTCAAAGCTCCTCCTCTCGGAGTTAACCATTAAAAAGTAATGTGTCTGACATGTCATCCAGAGCACTTCTCCCCTGGATTTCAGTACAGTACCATGTGAGCCTGGGTCGATCAGACAGAATTAAATTACTCCACAACCTTGGAAGATCCTTGACATCCCAAGCATCAAGAAGAAAAATCAATTAAAACTGAAAGTTCTAATTTTGTACTTACTCTGATTTGCAATGCAGAGTAAGTGCAAAAAAAAAGGCCTTTTTCTGGCTGACATTTTTAATTCTGAATGGCATCGATCAAGCAGGAGCATCTAATTCTCATTTTTAGCAAACTGACTAAATGTATCAGTTTATCAGCGGGACATTCTTTATCTCATTCAAACAAATTAAAACAGAATTAAACATGTTCAATCTAATATCAGCTACACAGCATTAGTATATGTCCATCAATAAAACACTTCTAAAAAGACCCTCCTCTACTAAAAGTCCTCTAGCCTATCAGCTTTCATTGACAGCTATATTGGTAGGTTTTGTACATGTGTTGTAATCTTAATTTGGGATAGGATTTAAACTAAAGTATGTCAGGAAAAAAGGGACTGAATACATGTACACATCTTTTCATTTTCAGATTTTTACTTGTAAAAGATGTTCAAAGTTTTGAATCACTAGACAATAATTCTCAATAACAAAACATCCCAATAAAATATACCAGTTTGTGATTTTCTGCAAGACTCTGTAAAATAAACCTTACTTTGAACTGTGTGCAGTTTTCCTACAACTTTAAGGATGAGGGTTTTACAGCTCATTAATAAAAGAAAAAAGACTTCAAAATGAATGAAAATTATATATCATTAGATGTATTAGAAGTAACTAAAGGTGCAATTAGATTTCAGATGAAGTAGTTTTTGTTCCATTTTGCCACACAGGATATGACATAAGTTAGAGGAAAAGTACTATGATCTTACCAGGATGAGTAACAAACACCAATTCTACAGGCATTTGTGGTCTTTTACTTCTTTTCTTGTCAAAGCTACTAACTACAGGCTCTGTTCTTGCAGTTTGTGATTCAAGTCTATTTTGCATCCCCATGAATCTTCTTCTGCCTGCAGCAACCTCGCAGTAATTGAAGAGTGGCGCTGAGCTGAAAGTCTCAGGAGTTGTTACCACTGCTTTTAACGGCCTAATGTATCAGTGGCATTCCTCAAGTCAAATGTGAAAATCAATCCAATAAAAACAAGACCACTTCAAGATAAACTGCACCCGTCTCGCTCTGCCTTCTGTTTGTTGCTATGCTTTTTATGAACTACTGCAAAGCCAGACGTTCTTTTTGGACACTACTGTAGCTCAGGCAGCTTCTGCTAAGTTAGGTTTTTGTCACACACTGTTAATACTCACCAAGTACCACTGGTCTCTGAACTTGGGATCAACAAATTCTGTGACGGTATCCCTCTTTTTCCTCTGTTTGGACACCTGTTGCTCTGACCAAGTAACCTACACAGGGGAGGGCAAAACCCAAAAAATTAGAGACAAAAAAATATAGACCTTTCGTAACCGAAAGAAAACAAAATGCACAAGCAACAACACTCGTGACATTTAAAAGAGGGGGGAAAAAGAGAAGGTATAATTATGTGCTACCCATGAGTGTCAGCATGCCAAATGAAATAACTGAGATCCAACTCTCACCGGGACGGCAGCTGAAAGAGTGAGATTAGAGGCACCAGGGCATGCTGGACTCCTCTCTAATGAGGCTCGCTGATGAATTCCAGAGCAGACCAAGACTAATTAAAATTTCTGGTTTGTGTAAAGTGAAATGCAATGCATCAGAGGTTATTGTGAATATGCATACACCTGAACATCAATGCACATTAGGGTGGGACACGTAACAGTTCATAAGTGTGCAGTGGGCCATCATAATGGGGGAACACTTGTAGGAAATGTTGGCAGAGTCAGAGGACTTACAGAGAAAATGTTTCTGAACATTACTTCCTGCGCTGCATTGTGTTTTCAGTACAGGCAGACATTTAGGTTGGCATGTCGCATAGAAGAAAAAAAAATAAAAAAATTTTTAAGAAGAAAGACAGAACTGTCTGCAGCAAGGACAGAGTACCTGATGTGAAGGACAACTAAATTACACTCGATCTCTCTTTTTACTCAAATCTCTGGTGATGCAGACAGAGGGAGAGGGACAAAGAGGGAAAAAGTAATGAGGGTTATATTAACTGCTGAAGCAATGTCATAATGGAAGAAGAACGTTCTTCAAAACGGTAAAGAGGTCTGGGTTTGGGTTCAATCAGTTTAAGAGGATGTGAAGTTTTTATGCTATTCTAACAGTGAAGATCAGGTCAGCTTTGAGCTGCATCACTGTGGCAGTTCAGACACTCTGAATCAGCTCTGGTTGGTGACGGGAAGGACCAAATACAAAAAATAAAATAAAATAAAATCCTTAATAAAAAGGGTTGGGGTTTTTTTATGATCCATGGAGCAAAACGATAAAATGAAGCATAAAATAAATACATTTCTAAGTTGGTTCTGTGCATCTCCAGTTGCAAGTGTGGGAAAGTGAGAGGAAGCAGCTACTGTGTTGGACCCTCACACCTCATAAACCAAACATGCAAATCCAAAACACACTTTGAAGTACATGTTTAAAATACTGTAAACATATATTGTAAACATATAAAATATGCCAGAGCATTCAGGACATGCTGCTAAAAATGTTGTAGCTCTTTTGGTTTGAGGCTTTAAACTTATTAAAAATGTAGCGACCAAACAAAGAAAAGTTTCAATCCCTGCAGTTCTGAATTTTACATACAATATTCTGCACAATTTAATTCTTCAAAAAGGAACCTAGTCAGTCTATCTAAACAAGCATTTATTCAATACTGCTTTCATATTTTTTTTTTACTTCATAAAGCAAGCTGAGGCAAACACTGCTTTTAGTACAATCAGATCAGAGCCTATAAAATCTGGCATCACTGAATCAGTTAAGTGGAAGAGTTGCCAAAACCTAATTCTAATTCATGAATCACTGAAGGTCTCGGATACATGCATCAAATTTTGAACAATTTAAGTGACCAGACAGAGATGAAAAGGCAGCTAATGGAGCGCTTTGCTTCTTTCTTCAGCTTAATTATGGCTTCCCATTTCAATAAGATGACAAATTTTTTAAAACAATCTCTGGACAGAAGGAGTCACTAAAGGAGTTACTAAACTTCATTTGATTTCAACTTAGATTAAAACTATTTCTTTTCTTCTGCGTCATCAGGACGAGGGTGTGATTTCCCCCTTTTCGTTTCCTAGCACCTTTTCTATCAAATCTGACACTCTGGTTTCACACATATGCAGGGAAAGGCTTTTCAAGTTGACCTATATGCAACGATTCATATGTGTGGTGTGTAAAATATGGAGCAACAAACACCTCACTGCCCTTGTTATCTGGATATTTTGTAACCGTTCATATTTATTCGCTCGCTTCATCAGAATTTTGAGCGCATGGGATGCTGCAACCTTGAATCCTTGTATGCTGTGAAACACAATGCAAAAAACCACAATGCTCAAATCATGCTGTAACCCTGTGAACAACTCCCTCAACTGTGGAATGTTTGCTCCTAACACCTAACCAGGAAATGGTAAAGCCGTTTTACCAAGACAAACAGGAAACATTGGTTTAACAAGCAACACCTCTACAGCTGGGAGAAATTTACAGTAAATGCTCAATATACCTTTCTCATCAAAACGCCTAAAATCCCCCATTTTGAGTCTTTGGCCAATTACTTCTAAGTTTCCATAATGCAACTGAAGAACTATAGGACTTTATGTTACTGACTTTGGTAGGATCAGCAAGAAAGCACACCATGTTATACACTACACAACTCCTCTGTCACAGTCAGCCTGAAGTAAAAGTGTTTGACTTTTTGAAGGAAACGCATCCATAATGATACAAAGTCATTTAAAGATGTGAGAAGACACAAAACCTTTAAAATGGTTTGCAAAATACTTATTCGTGAGGAGAATTTTTGAAAATTTAATTCAGAGTGTATACCAATCTAATGGAAACCTGACGTTCAAAGAGTTTGTCTTATCTCATGTTTAGGAGAGAGAGTATTTCTCCTCCAACAAATAAAATCCATTTTGTCCACCCTCTGCTTTGTCCTTCCAAATTCAACAAAGTGTGTCCCCTGTGACAAACCGGAAACATCAAATAAAGCAGCAGTATTACGAAGGAATATCCAAGCAGTTTATGTTCCTATAAAGATTGTTTAGGTGTTGCAAAACTTGCCATTACTGCCGAAGTAATAAAAGTGATAACAAAAATAATCCTGTAAACAAGTGTTGGACAATTAGCCAAAATGTGTGCTTCTGCTGTGCCTTACTCCTTTTTATTGTCTCTCCAGAAAAAAAAAGGACATTCACTGAAAAAAAGTACTGTACGAAACAACAAATAAAACCAGAATAAAAGAAAACAGAACAATGCATGGGCATAATAGATAAAGCTCTAAACCCCTAACTCACTTACATTTTTTGGTTTATAAAGTCTGGCAGATGCCTAGATGCTTTCGTGAGCAATTAATCACACTTAAAATAGAATTCAGTGGAAGATTTAGGCTTCATCTCATCTAGTTTGAAAACTGCAGAGTCTCTCCAGGGTTTAAAAATCCTCCCATTTCATTTCAACCCTTTTTTGGGAGTTAGGGGAAGCTGTGTGGTTTAGTAATATGGGAGCACAATTAGCAATAATCTCACAGTTCATAGGCTTTGATCGCACTGTTAATTACAGAAAAGTTCAAATATTGATGATTATGTGAGGGAGGGAGCCGAGTGAAAGCGTGCGAGGAAAGCAGAATTGGCAAAGTTCTCCTGATTAAACCAGATTGAAAATAAATTAAAACCCAACTCTTATTTTAACAAACAGGAGGAGCTGAATGTGTAACGGTCCATTTTGTCTGAGGAGCTGTGGGACAAAAGGAATTCAACAACAGGAAATGGAGCTGCGACGTTAAAGGAAATCCCAGAGAGGGAGGTGGACTGCTTCTACTGTGTAAAACAAGCTCAGCAGACGCTCGTCTATTCCTGCTCAGCACCTGTGCAGCGCAAATTAAACCTGTCTGTCAGGGCTGCATTTCCATGGACTGATGCCCAGATTTATGAGAGGAATCATGACTGATTGCAGTACTCAGCTTAAATATAAAGTCTTTTCAGTTAAAGATATGAGTTACTATAGCAATGCTCCCCGAGGTATACTGCTGGTGATCATTATTAGCAATGGAAATCACGCTGATGTTCAAACTCAATGTTCTGGTTGTGGTACATAGCACTAAAGAAATTCCTTAAATTTATTCCCAATTTTGGATAATTACCTCTAGGTAACCTGCAGAACAAAAGTCATCACGTTCTATAAATATTCATATACCAACTGAAAGAATGTGAAACGCAGCTACGGCTGTGCTGCGCACTTTAAAAGATGAATGCGCTCGGTTTTTGATTTTTTATAAGTTTTAGTGACCTGCAGAAATCGGAAACTGAAGAGTAGAAAATTTATTCAGGATGAAGAAAAATTGCCTAAAATCGGTCCACACTGTTTTCTTCCATCATTCACAAAATGCCCTGAGAGCACAACAAAAATGGAAAGAATAAATAAAAAAAAGAAGCAAGAACTACCGAAGACAAGCTGCACCGCATCATCACCAGTTCTCCCATTAGAGTAAATTCATGAGTTTTAATCATTCTTTGTGGCAGAAATAATTAGTGAATTAATGCATCAAAGGAAACTCACTGGAGGTAGAGCAGGTTGCTCACCAACTGGGGGCTTTAAAACTTTTGGTGAACACTTCAGGCAAGACCCTGTGTCCAAAATCATCTTGATGGTAAGGCGAGCATTTCGCTTAACATCCTGCTGCCACCAGTGCATCGGCCTTGTTGTGGGGAATGTGTGTGATATTTGCAAGGCACAGTGGAAATGTTTCAGAAAAAAATAGTGTGAAACTATTTTGACCCATTGTGTCTTTTTTTCCCCTAAAATTTTGACATCTGTTTCTACATGAGTTTCCACACTTTATTTATGACAATGCTTCTTAAGTATAGCAAGAAATGTAATATTGATCTGGACCTTTTGTTGGCAGTTATGATGGAGGATCTTTCAACACAGGGTCTACTTTCAATGCATCTACTTTCTCAAAGTACATAGCTGTAAATCACATATGGTGAAGACAGCAAAGATTTCTAAGGTAGCACTGACATCTCATTTCATCTGCAATGCAGTAAGAAAATCCAGCCCTGCTCATGTTTTTCATTGGGTTAATTATTTTTAATTAGTATCATGATTGAAAAATACTTTCTTTTACAACGCTAAATAGCGCACCGTTGAGTTTTCTACTTCGATTTACCAAACATGATGATGTACAAAATGTACATCATCATGTATTTTAATTATTCCCATCTATACATGAGTACTGTAAAATCAATATGTTAATGAGTTATATGCATATAATTCCTTTAGATTAGATGCTGGAGCTAAAAGACATTCATTTATTGTGAGAGGAAGCCTGAAATTTGTTGTACAAACAGGCAAAATTATGAAGTAAAGACTTTAAGATGACTCCATACTGCTCCTAATGTTCCACATTTTCTTTTAGGATTGACTGATTTAAAAAAGTATTTCTCAACTGTGAAATAGTGGGTTCTAAACTGTGGAACACAGTACCTTCAACCTAGAGGCAATAGAGCTAACTCAGTTGAATCAGTAGAATAAAACAATGACTGAGACATCCTTAATTGCTATGACAAGTGCTAACTGGAAGGCTTACTGCAGGCATCACAGTCCCAAAGGTGGGAAACAGCAACTAAAAATGCCTTTAAGCTGGAAAATAATAACTTCTCACTTTCCATAAAGATGCAGCTATCCCCACACCTCAAAAACTGTCCCCAAAGGCAAACCTTAGACACATCCAATGCCGAACACCCCGTGACTCCAATAAATAAACCTCTTACCTTAGGATCTCTTTCCAGACGGACTTGTGCCGTTCTGTGATTAGACAGCGATCTCTTTACCACCCTGCGATGCCGGAAGTGATAGTAATCACCAAATACCTGGAAAGACAAAGAGATATGATCACCCATCACATCCTGCGGTTCAGATCTGACTGCCTATAATCTGATAACACCTCCGTATATCCTCATGGCATATCCTCTGCCACTAAATGACAAATATTTCTATAAACTTTACAGAGTGGCAATAAACAGAGTAGCAGGCTGGAAAAAATACCCTTTCACTCTAAGATGAAACCAATACAACATGAATACTTACAAACATCTGGCTTAGCACCATTTTTTTTTTCTTGAACATACACAACCTTTAACAGCATCCAAAATATTCCTCGCAGTTTGTTTTTCTCAGATTACCGCAAGCTGCATGCGCATTTTTCTCCACAGACAAGTCTTCTCTGCATTTTAAGCTCCCTGGTTAGGTTTATTCTGTCTTTAAACACAAGAATCGTCATAACTCTGCTGTCTAAATAAAATATATTTATACATTTATCTGAAAAGCTCAGCTCATTCCCCCACAATCCCTTCCTCCCCACATGGTGCCATTCCAGAGTGCACTGCAACATTCCCTTGGTCTAAAAGAAGAACAGCTCAACCCTCATCAGCCTCCCCGCTCCCATTTAATCACAGTAAACAGGCTGATTCCAGCAGGGGTGACACAAAAAAGGCCCTGCACACAAACCCGGCAGACAATAGGGAAGCAATAACCAAGAGGAAGCACATGGTTTACTGTGATATTCAGCCCTGAAAAGGACCACCAAAAGCCACAAGCCTGTATGTGTGTGTGTGTGTGTGTGTGTGTGTGTGTGTGTGTGTGTGTGTGTGTGTGTGTGTGTGTGTGTGTGTGTGTGTGTGTGTGTGTGTGTGTGTGTGTGTGTGTGTGTGTGTGTGTGTGTGTGTGTGTGTGTGTGTGTGTGTGTGTGTGTGTGAGAGAGAGAAAGTGTTCCTTTGTGCTTAAACTATTAAAGAATGACACCAAAGTTAAATGCTGGACTTATAGAAAGAAGGGAAAAGAATGCAAACACTTACAACCATTAGCTGAGCTGACTGCCCCCTTTTTTCTGAAGAAGAAAAGGATAAACCAGGCTGAGGGTCAGCTGTTTGGATAAGGTTTTGCTTGACTAGACTTTAATGAAAAGTTCCTTACAAAAGACGGTTCAACGATAAACCCACAAACATGAACCTTCCTTTATGACTCCCTTGGTATTTCACTGAAAGAGTCATGCACCATTCAGTGACAATGTGCCCTTAAAGAAGTCATGCCAGCATTGTGGAACAACTGAGGGAAAGTTAGACCATTAACTTTAATGGCATGCTGCTCAGGAACTCACATCAGTGACTAGGTCATAATTTCAATGCACAATATACACATGTATTTTTTTAGGCCTCATCATCAGCTGGAAGGTGCCAACTCAGAATTTGGGGCTTGGGGGCTTTGTGATGACACTGATCCATATCAGGAGGTGGTCATAATGACAAATGAGACTGCAAAACGGTGTGAAGGAGTTAATCAATACAAAGCAAACCCACCATCATCTGCAGCAGAACAAGGAAATCCATGGTGCACATAAGGAGACAAAGGCACACACCAATGCTACTTGCATTTAAAGCACTGAGTGCATTTGAATAGCTTGCATACAGATTGCAACACAGTTTAGGCAATGACCTTTTCATTCTGCAATCCTCGCTGCATACTGTGAAAACACACAGTCCTGGGATCTCATGGTATTACATGAAAAGCAAGTTAAGCTGGAACAGGGTTGGTACTAGTTAGGTGTTAATTGCGAAACTGTGGCCGTGTCAAGAAGAAACAGCCTGCACAGAAATAAGAATACCTTGTACTACCCCCAAACTGTTTTTATTTTGGATTTTTTCCAAAGTTGTAGTGCTTAACCAGGGCTGGTGCTAGTGCCAGAGCTTCACAATAATGACCTACTGATCAGAGATCAATATCAGCAGTGTTGTAAAAATAAATAAATAAAAAATTAAACCACAATATTTACAGCAGGATTTTTTTAACCCTACCAGGCAATTTTAAAAGACCGGTAAGGCTGTGGAACTCCAGTAGAAACAGGGAAAAAAAGCACCACTAATTCCTCCTTTATTCTGGGTATCAACTGGAAGCTAAAAATCCATATGTCAAATACAGTTATAACCCTGTATTTGAGATATAAATTTTTATTAATGATAAAGGTCAGCGTTTGTACTCTTACTGGGAAGATAAAACACTGTGGAGTTTTAAACATGATAATTTAAAACTCCACCAAAGGGTGTTCCCTCCTCTGATCTAGCTAAAATCTGGTTGCAAGTAGTTCATAAATGCTAACGCTTGCAGTGGTGGAAACATAAATGACTGTCACAAGAAGTGGTTTGTTGGAGGAAACCCCCAGTTGGGGGTGTCAAGAGTGTCTTCAGAACTTTGTATCTTGAATCATTAAAAAGCTTACTGTACCCAATTCAATGTATAGATTTAATTGTTAAGAAAATAAAAATGGTTTGCCAATAAGAGGACAGACGGTAAGAAATGTATCAGTAAATTAATTGTGATAAATTGGTAACTGTGAACAACTTTTCACACTTTTCACAAACTTGTTCAGTCAGGAACAAAATTTGTTGGTGTCTCAGTGTGAACTATGGGGGGGACAAAACTGCAACAGTGGAAAAAGCATTGTGCACAAGTGATAAATTACAAGAAGTTGAAAAAATACCGGTATACAGGCCAGAGATCTAAGATATAGACACTTGAATGTATGTCTGCACATGTATATGTATGGACTCGGCTTAATTTCAGGTAAACTGCTCAACTGTTGCAAGTGTATGGACAGACACGCACTCTTCCCTCATTCAATAATCTGAACCAGAATCTAGACCTTCTAAACCCTGCAGCTTGAACATTGTCTGACGATCAGCAACATCACTTTCGGGGCTCATGTTTTTAGCAATTCTAACTCAAGACCACACGGTTTCTTCAGGGGTATAGCTGCTTTCCACTGAAGTGGGGGAAAAAAAATGCCAATTTAAAACCGATGTGGAAACAGATCAAGCTCTGTGACCATTACTGATGTGATAAGCTTGGAGCTGTTGCAGCACAACAGGCCACTCAACATGTGGTCAGCTACCAGAGCGAAGCAATAATCCATCAACATTAAAATGCAAAGCAACGCACAGCAGAAAATTACTGCCTGCTGGTTTGTTTGCATGTTTGGTTCCTCCCCTACTGCCAAATTTACCTTGTGGGAAAGCAATTATCAAAAAGGTCCGATGTCTTATCCCCACTGACTGTTGTTGGCACAATTATGTCTTACAAAGAGACAAACAATGTCAGAAGACAAGCTGTTAAAGAAGCTTGAGGCTGTTTTAAATTAACAGAAAACCGCAGCCCATATGGAATCGTGAACATCAAAGACAGCCAAAGGATTTCACTAGAGAGCGATGTCATTGCAGTTCATTTCCAGACACTTTTGACAAGGCATTCTCCTTTTGATTTTGATATCAAGTGATTTACAAGCCTCACACAGAGTGGAGCATTAACATATTTTGTTTGCACATCAGTGAGCTGAGATAAAGTGGGAGCGCGAGTGTTTCGGCCTTCTAAAATAGTTTGCAACTTGTTTGTGTAACGAGGCTGAAGCCCAATTAGCAACTGTTCACTGTGGTAAACGGGTAGGAGAGGGGCATCAGTTCCCCACAGTGGCAGCCGGACATAAAAAGCTCTTTCTTTGACAGCACAGCACCCTGACCTGAAGCCATACATCTGAAAATACTTTTACTCATTATTTATACCTTCCTTAACCATTTTTACTGCTTAAATCATATATAGAGCTCTCAATCTGTCGCCCTTTACTCAATTACCCTGAGTTTTACTTGGCATTAAGGTTACGTCTATGTTTAAGAAGGTTCAAAGCTAAATCAACACTTTAAGCCTCTCACTTGCCTTTTTAGCCTTGACTGAAGCAAACACAGCAGTAGAGCTGCACTCAAAGAAATGAATCATTGACTAAACATATTTTTTTATGTTGGCAGGTTCCACACAATTGTATTATATTAGTTGAAAGCAAAACATATAGCAATCTAACATTATGACATTATGTTTAACTGAGATAAAATGAATGAATGAACCCATCTACTTCAAATCACTTCAGATTAACAAAATAGAAGTTAGTTGAACTAACAACTTTTTTATGTTTGTCTGACAAAGCAAACACTCTTTCAGGGAACTTATGTTTTATTTGTTCACTAAACATGAAAAATATGTTTTTTAAGTTAATTAATTATTTTCTAAATTCAAGTTCGTCGACAGGTTCCACACAAATGAAAAAACATGTTTATACAAGTGACTGTAGTGTTGGTCAGAAGGATGGAACCGATAAAATGGGAAGGAACAAACTATTGGCTAATTCAACCTCTTTTATTTACAGACGTGACATCTATTCTCAACAAGTTACTCGACCATTCCTCCGTGTTTGGAGAGCAAACAGATTATCATTCTTGGCACCATCCACTTTCACTTCAGTTGCTCGCAGGACATTAAATTTGTTCATTTTAATAGTGTTGACAAAAACAAATGGAAAGAACAGGACAGTGACATATGGAGGTTTATAGTCAGAAAGAGAGGTATGAAAAGATACTCAGTTTAATATCCACAGGGGCTTTAAAGGAAAACACGGACTATGCTCTGTTTTAGTCACTGACTGTGGGTAAAAATGCAGATCATTAAATATCTGATTTATCTCCAGAGACATTGACCTGGGATGTGTGAGTTTGTAAAAAATGCCCAGCAGCATCTTTTGTCTCCCTTCTAGCAAACACAGATGTGTCAAAACCGCACCCGAAATCTCTTGAAATACTTTAAGTGTTTTTCATTTGGTGTGTTTGGATGCAGCAACTCTTCAATATGGCTCTAGAGCTGCACTGCTGAGGGAAGAAAGAAATTTCCAGCTGTCAGTGACGATCACTCACCGGACATTTGGCTCCCCCAGTCCTCAACTGAAGGATGTCTATTCTGGGTTTCATCCAAAAAACAAAAATACCCAAAGTCCTCAGTG